TTGGTATGAATCTGTTCATCCCTTTGTCTTGCTTTGGGAAGACTGCTTAAGAGATCTGGACTGATGGTTTCATTCCACTGCACACAGGACATCCTATCAGAGGGAAGTAATGACTTCAGTCATGCTTCAAGTTTTATAGTTAATTATCCGTTTGGGGTCATAAGCATACCATTTTAAAGAAATTATTCTCAGAAGATGCTAATATTTCATATCAGCTGAATTCAACAAAAGCCACAGAAATATCTAACAGCACTTAGTAACTCAGGATCCTTGAGCTAAACAATAATATGTCATTTATAAAAATTTGTATATGTTTTCATTTTTGTCAGCATCATTTGCACAAAACAGTGCTTTGAAGTTACAGCTGCTTATACTTGCTCATCCCTGAAGTATGTGATTAATTTATATTAAAAATATATTCTTCAAGGTTGTTCATAAGCCTGAAGAATGATTTAAACATATTTAATTCAACGTTGGGTCTAACTAGAATTTTAATTTATAAGCCAAATCTGGCTAGCGCATGCATCACTTGGTATGCTCTGAACTGACTAGCATCCAAACTGCTGTGATAAAGTTGAAACTCCCATACTGCCTTCCATCAGTCTCAGAAATAGGAATTAGCACAATGACTTGTTTTCCTTGATAATCTGTATATCACAGTGCTATACCACAGTCAGACAAACATGGTTTTGCTTACATCCATTTCATCCTTATCTACAGTTGAGGCGTCAAGACATGGTAGGCTGGGCCCAAGAAATTCTCTTTGCACCCAAGTATTAAGTTGAATTCAGCCAGTACGACTGAGTTATCACTTCAAACCCTTTACATATGTACCACAAGCTGTAACAACAGAATCAAAACAGTTGTATAAATTTCAGAAGTAGCCTTAATTTTGGAATAAGTATCACACCTAAATTACACAACTCCAAGACTTTTGGCTACAATCATTTATATGGATACCATACCTCAGATATGGCTTGGTAACTACTCCAATCATCTTTTTAACAGTCTGTGCTTCACAAACCCACAGACTTAAATCAACAGCAAGTGTTTTTCCTTTGAGACTGCTCAAGTTGACAGGTTGTCTTACAGGCTCAAGGATTTGCCACAGATTTGTCACTCCCATTGTTCTAGCTTCTTTGTTGTCAGCATGAAGGTTTTAGCTGTGAAGACCAAAAATATAAAAAAAAAATTACTTTCAGAACATAACATGAAGCATGACATATTATGAAGTTTGGAAAATAAGTATTTAGTCATTATCAGTTTCACTTTTATGAGCCAAGAACAGCTGCAATCAAGCTAAGTGTGTAGCGACTCCCGTTCACAGATGCTTTATTACTAAATACCTTCTTTGTACATTTTCATTGCTAATAGCCTGAAAATAAATAAAAACAAACTCAGTTAGGGAAAAAAAAAATCATTAATTTCCAAGTCTCATGTGTCCCTTACATACACACAATATAAGCTTTATTTAAAAACAAAAAAACCCCACACCTCTCGAGTGAATTACTTCCTAATCTGAAGTGGTAGGATTTGCATTAAAATGCTTCTGTTCAAACAGAAGTAGCTTAAAGCTACTCGAGGAATATTTACAATGATGACAAAACTTTCCTTAGTAATCCAAGATGATACAAGAAGGATCAACAGCCACAGATTCTGGCTTGAGAAATTCAAGTTGGACTTAAGGAAAAAAAAACAAACAAAACCCACAGAGGGTACTGTAGCACTGGTTGCCCAGAGGTTGCAGCATCTCCTTTCTTAGAGATTTTGAACATGCAGCCAGCGTACTGTCTTACTGGTTTAACCCAATAGTGGTGGAAGTCTCCCTCCAAGCAGGGAACCTGCACTGATGACCTCCAGCTGTCCCTTCCAACATTTCAACATTTATAACATTGTGACTGCTGACACATGCCAGTGGTTTTACTATTTTAAATTTGGTATTGTGTGAGTTGCACTATCTATAATGAACATCAGCTGAAAACATACACCCCTTAGGTGGCATATTTCTTGGGCTCTTATTTAACTTTATTTATATAGCTCTATTTTCCATTATGCCTCATTACCAGAACTAATTTTCTTCCTTTTCTTCTTTTCTTTTTCATTTTTCTTCTGCTTTTTGTACCTTGCAAGTTCTATACAAGGCCTCTAAGACATACTCTGCTTTTCCTCTCACAATACCCACCTACTCCTGCACTGTTTTATTGTACAAAGTTTGCCTCATGCTTATTTCTCTACTGTTTCCTCGATATTAGAAGATAAAAATTAAATACTATCTGGAACAGTTTGTATTTCTTTCTGATTTTGAAACTACTGCCTACTCAGATAAAATACACCCTCCATTGAATACATCATGACTAGATGAGCTAGCTACCTGTGCTCTGAGATCTGCCTAAGACATGCAAGGAGCTATGCCACCTTGTGGCCTCTGGTGAACACAGCCGCAGTAAATTCAGCGGTCTTCCACATTCAACACAATCACTGTCACAACAGCAAGCCTGTTTTTGCAGGGTGCCTTGTTTTATACTCTAAAACCACTTTAAAGCAGAGTAGCTAATCAGTTCGAGGTTGTTTTTAAATCAAGTACTCATATTAAGATCTACTGTCAACAGAACTCATGTTTCTCAATCTGATTTTAGTTGTATGCATCCAGGGCATAATGTATTGCTTCTGTTGTTGTTATATCTCAAGCAGACAAAATGAATTAAAAATACCAATAAAGCATGCAAATAATTTCTTGAAGTCCAGGATGATCAATTTTCTGATGCACAGGGGAGGCTAACAAAAGGCATCCAAACCTTCTCAAAAGACAAGTGTGATATTCAGCTTCAGTGAGGTTTAACAAGAGAACAACTAACAAAACAAGATGTCTTTTTTGATGTTACCATTTGGCTCCTGCCAGTCCACATCCATACAAATTTTAAAAATAACCTGTGTTAGCAGGTTTCTAAATATTGTTATGGAATGTTGCTGTCCCTTAAAAAGGGTTTGTTTGCTGCTGTGCAAAAGCCAATCTCACACACAGAGCCGAGATATCAGCTGACTCCATAATTGTGCAAAATGGGTGCTAAGGTGGCAATTCTACAAAGCCAGCAGACCACACAAAGGAACTACAACTTAATTATCTTGTTACATGATTAATAAAAACCTAAGTTTACATTCATTGGTCTGTAATCACCAATTCCATACACTATTGGTTAGATATATTTGAATTAGCCTCGCTTGTTGTGTAAATTAGTACGCATGCTCCTTACAGGTGTGGGGAGAAAATTCCCCCAGTTAACACTTTTTTTCTTTTTTGATGACTTTACGCTTCTTAGGCTATCATCCAGCCTCTAGTACCTTCTAGGGCCAGATGTTTACCTCTTATCACTCTCTCAGCTCCTCTTTAATGGTATAGTCTAGCAAGGCATGCATCCCATCAGGTTACACAACAGTCAGTGATCAGTGGTCCTTGTGCTTGACAAGAAACATTTGTATGGGCTACACTGTGACATGGTACCTAATTAACAGGAAAGACAAATACACTAAACACTTAATAACCCATAGGATTATAAATAATAAAGAAACAAAAAAGTATAAAAAATTGAAAACAACAAACCCTCCCATTTTTTCTCCACCATGAGATAATAAAGTATTGTTATTTGAGGACAGAAGTATTCCTTACCCCCATTCAATATCTATCTAAGGTGGAGTTATGAAAGCCTGAGACACCTACCAGCCTGCTTTTGTGAGTGTATTCTGTAAAATATTTAGCTCTGGATCCCGTACACAAATATATCTACTACTTTTAATAGAAGTAATCAGTCTACTCAGATTTTATTGAGGAGCTATGTTCATCACAAACCTCCATTCTGCTTAGAGTTAGTAACTTGCAAAGAAGTGAGACTGAACCAGGTTTTTTTTCATATACTTAAAAATCACTGAATATATCATGCTATTATAAAATCGTTGATAGTAAATATAAACTAAAACCCTGCCCACAAAACCTTCTCAATTTCTCACTGGGCCAGCTACGTGCTATAGCTACATAGCCTTTATGTTTTATAAATCATATTTTAAGGCTACAATCTACTTTACAAATTTTTTTTACACAGACAGAAGAGTAAGTCAGTTACTTGAAAATAACTACAGAAGAGATTTAATGCTGAAGTTTAGTTCACACAGACATGCTTTCACCCACTGCCAACGTAACTTGCAACAACCACCATACATATGCTTTATATCTGAGCCAGAAGCCTTTTTTTTTAAAAAAAAAAAAACAACAACAACAAACAAACAAACAAAAACAACAAAAAAAAGAAAGCCCACAACGCGTTTTTAATAACACTCCCTCTCCGTGCTGCCCTGGCACAGAGCACCTGACAGACCTGCTCTGTCCCAGCACCTGGCACAGCTTTGCCAATAAACCTGAGCACCCGAAGCACAGCACTGGCACGCCTCAGGATTTGCAGACTCCTCCTCAAACTCTTAGGCTTTCTTCCCCTAGAAGAAAACAAAAACAAGAAGTTGCCTGAGAACGAAGTAACAAGACGCAGACATCCTGAACACAAGCATCTAAACTTCTCACCTTGATGCGAGCTAATGAAACCCCACGCAGCCGTCTCCCTGACCCACTGCGGGAAGAAGAGCCTTTGGGAGGGCTCTCCCTGCCCGCTATGAGGACTGCAGACCTAGTACCCCAACTCCGGATCTGGGGCAGGGACCTGCCCCCCCGCAGCGCTGCCCCCTTCCCGCCCGTGGCGCCCTGAGGCCCCCGACGCCTCCTCAGCGCAACCGATTCAGCCTTCAGGCAGTGAACAGTAGAAACTTACGTCCCGGTTTGGGCACGGAGATGCTCAGGGGGACCCGAGCAAGCCTAACCGCTGCCGAGGGACGGGAGGGACGCCCGCAGCCCCAACGGTCGCCGCTGAAAGACGCACCGCCCCGGCAGCAGCTCCGCCCCCTCGGAAATGGCGGGCTCACGGGAACGGCGCCCTCAGGGCGGGGGGCGGCAGCGCGCAGGCGCTGCACCGTTTCCGTTGTAGCCGGGTGTCCGCGCCGCTCACTAGTCTGGTCCGACATTTCCGCCGTGTGGGGCTCGGGACCTCGCCTGGACCTGAGCCTGAGCCGGCGGCGTTGAGGAGAGGTAAAATGGGGGGCCCTGGGGCTGGTGCCGTGGTGGCCGGGCGCGTTTCTGTTCTCTGGAAGCGGCTGGAAGGCGGGGAGGAGGGGAAGGGGGGTTGGGAGGTCGGTTGGCCGGGGCATTGCCGGCCGGGAGCCCCGCGGCGGGGCGGCTGTCGCAAGTGGTTTGGTGGGGGCACGTTAGCAGTCGCAGCTGGCTTTTGTTACCCGCTGTACAGCACGGTTGCCCTGCCCGGTGTGGGAGCTCCGCGCCGGGTGCCTGGCTTTGCCCGGCCGGCGCCGCGAAGGCGGGAGGGAAGCGGTAAGGACCGGGGAGCGGCTGCCACCCGGGCTTTCCAGCCGTGAAGCGGGGGGTGTCGCCTCTCTGGGAGGTGAGAGGATCCTTCCAGGTCGTCCCGAGAAGTTGTTGGGCCAAGCAACAGATAACTGGGGGATCGGAGGGGCGAGTGTGTGTCTGTGTGTGTTTGTGTGTGTGTGCGCGTGGTGTTTCTGCTCCCTCTTTCCTTTGACCCTCCCCAGAGAGGAGGTGGAGCTGCCTTCTGTGCTGCTGTTTGTCACAATGCCTTTCTAGTGTGTAGATGGGATGTACAGACTATTTATTAGTTGTCTGTGACTATTCAGAGGGGAGTCGGGAATGTCAGCGCCGTGTTATAGTCTAACAGGGGACTCTGGCCCAGATAGCCCCTAAAAATATACGGCACTCCACTGCTGTGTATGAAGCAAGGCTTCTGACTTCAGTCCTCTGGAATGTGTGCCTCTTAAGTACAACAGATCGTGAATGATCCTTTCCTTTGCTATTATAAGGTGCCAGAGTTAATTTTTAACTTATTTATTGCTATCTTTATGTCTGTTTAAACAAATGCAGTGTGCTGTGCATCAACAGAAGACCACAACTCTCTTCTTCCTCTTCTCCCACCCTATTCTTCCTCCCATGTCTCACATTCATCCTGACATAGGTCTGCTCTGATGTTTTTTCTCTTCCTCTGTTTTGCTAACTGGACGAAAGGCAGTCCGGGTTGTAGCTGATCTGGTGTGAGTGCTTAAAGTAAGTGTTTTGAGTGGCAGCTGCTCCCTACCTTACACAGACACCAGCGCAACACCAGGCTGCTAGAAAGCCAGCAGAGTGGTTTTGGTGTCAGGAGGTTGGTTGTGTCTGCTCTGAGTGAGGCCAACTGTGACCAGCCAGGTAGGGAAAGGGAAAAACAGATGTACAACTGCGTTGTGATGGAAGCTGTGGAAAGAGATGCTGTTGTTTAGGGTGGCATGTGGGTGGGCATCAGTACATGTTGCTTCTGGTAGATGCAGCCTCTTTTTTCCTATACTTTGATGTTAACAGGGTAAATACTTTTCTACTATAACGTGTAATAGTCCTGATAGTTTTATGCAGCACATTTGGGGATTGCGTTTTTCTTTGTGCTCTCAATACATGCAGAACAATTACTTGTAATAATTTGTAGTGATTCTCTGGTGTTTTTATAATTGGATCTGTCTTGCCTTTATTTGTTCCCAATTTATAGCTCCAGTTTTTATTCCTAACTGTTTGCTCTTACATTCCATGATAGTAATTTTCTCTATTAAATCAGAACTTTTAGTCTTTTTCTTTCTGAGTAACCATTGAGTTCTCATTTGAATTACTGATATGCCTCCTTTGTCATCATAAGTTTCCGTTAACATAGTCCTGCTTTATATTGCAATATAAATGTAAATTTAGACTTCAGTTTTTAAATATGATGCCTGGTCCATTAAAAACCCCTTCTGTTAAATGTCATTTGTCAAGTGTCCATTGTTGGCTTTCCATTAGTCTATTACATATCCTGAAATACTTGTACTAATGTATGTTTTTGCTAGTTTAATTATTTTCAATGTAATATTGCACATTTTAATAACCTTCACATGGGTCAGATTGGCTGCTTTTCCTTTGCCTTGAACAGCTATTCCAAAACTGTTGTTAAAGTTATGGTAAGTGGTGCTGATACAGAAGTAACTATTTTTTCACTTAAAAACTTAAGGAAGAAAATTAGGGATGTCTTCGTGCAAGAGTTCTGGGAGCAATTAATGTAAAAAAATAAGCTTTTTCTGTCAAAAATGTCAAGGTGATCTAAAGATAAAATTCAAATGTATTTGTTATTTTCAGTGTTTTTTTTTTTTTTTTTTATTTTTTTTCATGTTGACTATTTCTTCCTTTAGCTTTTAAAGCTGTTTCTTGTGAAGTTGTCTCTTGTGGATTCCTTGTTGCTGCAGTCAGTTTCGTTTTCCTTCCAGCTTCTTTGTACTCAATGTAGTTATTAGATCTGCTGTTACTTGTCATAATAATTTGAGGCTAGTTCATTAAAGTTTGCTTGAAGTTCCAGTTAAGTTTTGTTTGCACTACTAGCTCTTCAAGAGTTCCAGGATACAGACTGTTTTGTCCTTTGCCTTTGTCATGCTTAGATTACATGAGTGAGGGTTTTTGTGTTTTTTGTTTTTTGTTTTTTTTTTTTCCTCTTTTCCACTCTTATGCTCTCTTTCTTAATTGTCCAAATGGTATAGTGATGGAACTCATAACCCTGATCTTCAGTTCGGATATTAATAATTATAAAATTTAAATGTTGTGTTTTCTCTTCTTTGTAGAGAGAGATTTCAATGGAACAGCCTTCATATTTGAGTGGTAGATAAATTCCAAGTGTATACAAGTGACTCTTTCCTAGTCTGAGTAATTTAAGCATGAAGACATGTTTATGTAGGAAACTGGAAGTAGCACAGTAAAAGATATGTAACTGAGTCATAAAGTGTATTCGCTCCTTGGTTTCTATGTGTATGGTATTACACTACATTGCATAAAATGGAAATGACAGATTCCCTGTAAGTATTTCATGAACATAATAATAATCCAGTATTTGATCTGAAATCCCTTCCATACAAAATTATTGCAAGAATGTCAGATAGGAAGTTTATTGCATTTCTACATTTGGTTTTAAGTCTGTTCATTGCACTTAATGGAAAGAGATGCATATTATTTTTTCTTTATCATTTTGGTGCTGTGTCAGAGAAAATTGAGGGAGTTATTAGATGCAGTATTTTGTAAAACAGTGGACATATATGTAGACTAGAAATTAAATACTCTTTGTAATGATGTAATAAATTGTAATGCCTTATGGTGCTTCATATAATAGATGCTATTGTCTGTGATGCTTGGTGGTATGAACTTTCTGACCAACTGAAATCAGGTTATAGTTTGACCAGAACATTAAGCTGACACAAATAGAAGCAGCTGCTCAAAGAAACACCTCTCCACAGTGACCCAGATGTGCAGATCTGCATGATGAAATGGTTGGGAAACTTACTTAAAAAGGAAAAGGTTTTTCCTGCATTAATTTGCAGTAGAATCAGTGTCTTGATACAGTTTATTATTCTGCTACTTAAAGACCTGCTTGAACTCAGGGGGATGAGACAGAAGCAGAGGGAGGAAAGACTTCTTCTCTGTTGCAGCGTTAGGACTAAAGCAGTAATTTAACAGTCTTTATTTCATTGAGTTCTCTGTAGATTCTCCAAGTTAGTAATCTTAAAACATTTAAAGAGAGAATGTGGAGCAAGACTCTGAGAAGCTCTGGGAGGGCCCAAGGGCTTTAACGAGGGGGCCTCGTGGAGCCCTGAGGCTGTACATAGCACAGCTGGAACCACTGTGCTGATCCACCCAGCCTTCTCACAGACCCAACTGTGTCATCTCCCTTGCAGGGCACAGGAGACGATGTTAGGAACTGTTAGGCTGACCTGCCCACCTTCTCTCCTGGATCGTCCCATCTGTCCTGTGGGACAAGGAAGTGATCACTCAATATGCTTAAATATATCTGTGGCTAGAACTGTTCTGGTGTCCAAGTCCCCAATGTGTTTTGTCTCCGTGCAGTCAATTTGGTCTCAAACCAGGAAACATGGTATCAACTTTGGACATTCAGTGTCTCTAATTCTGTTCATTCTTCCTTCTCCTGCACTGCATCCCATTAAAAAAAAAAAATAAAATTATAAATAAACAGCCTACTCTTAGGCCTTGTGTCATAAAGTGATCTTTCTATAACAGTGAATATTAATTACATTTAATGTCTCTGAATTCTGCTTGAACTGGTGAGATGCACTTTAGTTGGTTACCATGTTTTCTAGAAGGGAGCTGTAGATTAAGTTCTAGTAAACAAAGTTGTCTGAGTAGGAGAACATACTCCATTTCACAAACTTTTGACGTCGGAAAAATATGCAGCTAATGTCAGCTTATTTTGGACACTTACCTGTAGGTGAGTTAACTACTGGCAAATAAAAAGAGTGCCTTTGTATAAAGAGGACTTTCTTTCTACTTGGGGCAAGAGGATGTGCACTTCCATGTTTTGTGTAGTGCTTTGGGACTCTAGGTATGAAGGTTGTAATATGTATTTTTAGGGGAATAAAAAACATGCCCCAAGGTTAGAGTTACAGGAAATGTGAGATATTGACTAACCTTGATGCCTGTTGTTTCAGTTTTATGGGACTTTAGTAGACCTTGTTACTTTTTTGAGATTAATTTCTGACCAGTCATATTAGTGCAGGAAGTCAGTGCATTATATATTCATTTGTAGAGGAAATATATACCTATGTTCTCTATATAGAAAATTGTTATCCTTCATTAGTAAAATAACATCATTTATAATGTGATCACATTATACTATCTCACAAAAGCAGGGCAGCTGTGTGCAAGAAACCAACCAGGTTTCTAAATCTAATTTTTCCTTTGTTATACTTTTATGTGTTCTGCATATTAACTTTCTAGGCATTTGTCAACCACATATAATGAATACACTTATTTTCTGTCTGTGCAGCTCACTTTTAATCAAACCTGTGTTGATGCTGCTGATCATACTATGATAGTTATGTACTTTTTACAACTTAATCTTCAACTCCATTACTAACCAGAAACAATTCTAGCAAATATCCTGAAGTCTAACGTACCAAGGAGAACAGAATCAAGGTTGTTGATGTTGATAATCAACAAACAAATCCAGTTTCTTTAGAATAATGAAGTTGTGTTTCTTTTGTTCTAATGCAACTTTTTCATAGTAAGCTTAAGCTTAAATTCACTGTGATTTCAGTTCTGAAAAAGTATTTGTTGCAACGTTTAATATGATCTTAATATTTCTTTTACCAAAGCGAATAAATTGGTATATCTGTGCTTTCATCTGAAGGTATGTTTTCATCTAGAAGACTGAAACCTACAATCTTTCATTGCTTTAATTTTTCAGTACTCATGGGTAAGAGAAAGGAAGAATGTATTTCAAAGCCTGGATCCCATAAAAGGCAGCGACAAGAATACACAGATGAACATAGTGATGCATCTAATGAAGAGGAAAATTCACAGTCATCAGCTGATAGCAATTTCTCTTTACTGTCGGTAAGTTATTTAAAAAGTTGTGTGGGGAAGAAGTAGGAAAAAGCTGTTATAAAAAAGTTCTGTGCCTTTTGTTGACATTGAAATAAATGTCTTGCATGTAGGCTTCAGTGGAACTAGTATAAAAGAAACTAGAGGTAATGTCTGCTGCAGATTTCTGCATGCGTTCATTATTTCTTTTGGGTCATGTGGTTATAACAGTTGATCATAAAATAAGTGTGCTGGTTTTATAGAATGAATACTGCTGAAATTGTCAAATTACCAAATAGAGGAAACAGATTTTGTTTGATAGAAGTATGGTATCTTTGGTTTATGGTTGTTGTAAAAGCAGATAACATACTTTGAAAACGAATTAATTACTAAAAGAAGCACCAAATACTTGTTTGTTCTTCATAGTTGACACTTTCAAATGTCTAAAAAAATAGTGTTTGAAACGCATATCTTGATGGAAATGAAACTTGAAAACAGGAATAACTTTTTTTTTTTACTGCTTTTTCTGTAATAGTTGAATTCTAATTTAATGGAGGATCTTTTTAAAAATAATTTCCGAGATTGCAAATACTGTCTTGTGTATTACACTGTCTTGTGTATTTAGATTGGACATTAGGAAACATTTTTTTACTGAGAGGGTGGTCAGACACTGGAACAGGCTTCCTAGAGAGGTGGTCAAAGCCCCAAGCCTGTCAGTGTTTTAAGAGGCATTTGGACAATGCCCTTAACAACATACTTTGACCTCTGGTCAGTCCTGAGTTGGTCACACGATTGGATTAGATGATTGTTGTAGGTACCTTCTGTCTGACATAGTCTAGTTTATTCTATAAGACACCATGGTTGATTTTTGATACACAAAGGCATTATTTTTCACTTCATTTTCTTGAACAGCAGCTGTTCTGTGTCATTGGTTTGCTTATTTTTTCCTGAGGACTTTGCTTTCTTAGAAAACATTGTTTTTCTGAAGCACTGACCATAAAACTGAAGTTTCCTGTCAAAACAACACTTCACCAGTTGAACAGTGGGCTGTCCCACTTTTAGTTTCATTTTCCCCTTCCTGATCTAATTGAATTGCTGTTGTTCTAAGTTGTGATAAGAATTCTCACAAATAGTATTATTCAAGTAACAAATCTTTCTATGATGCTCTTTTATTACTGCTCTGACAACTGTATAGAATCTATGAGGTTAATATTTTACATAGTATTATTTATAAGTTAATTATGGGGAGAAATGGAAGCTACGAGTGATCAGCTTTGGTAACTGTTTCGGTCTTATTACATAACTGCTCCATAGCAAGCAATTTTTCATAGTGTTGTGAAACTCTTCTGATTTCCTTGTAACTTGTAACCATCGATGTTTTATATTATGCTGTCGTTTGAATTCTCATTCTATTTAAAAAAGGTAAACTGTATCTCATTAAAAGGCATACATAACACCAGTTTTGATTGTTAATTCTTTAGACTGCAGGGGAAGTTGGGATAATTGAAAGTATCCAGCTGAAGAACTTTATGTGCCATTCGATGTTGGGGCCTTTTCAGTTTGGATCAAATCTCAATTTTGTTGTTGGAAACAATGGAAGTAAGTATTAATTGCATCATTTCTTTGTCAAAGAACACTTCTGTTAATAATTTAGAAGATGTAATTTTTATTTGAAAAAGAATTCCTGGTCATCTTTTAGGAATGGAGATGAATTCACTTTTGGACTTTGGAACTACAGGTCTATCCCTGTAGTTCAAGGCTGGTGAAAAAGTTAGGTCTTAAATTTGGAAATTTGCAAAAGATAATATGAATACAAATATTTTAATAGCTAAATCATACATAAATTTATATTTCAACTAAATGTACTCATATGTTCATTATTAAATGCACAAATTAAATGCATAGTAATTGTCCAAGTATGTCATGTAGAAACTGTTAAAGGAGAAGGAAGCGATACTTATTTATGCAAGTTCACTACTTTTGGAGAGAGTATTTTAAAAAATTAAACATTTTGAAAATAAAATTTTCAAAAAGAGCTTAAAACCTTTCAGATAGTTATATAAATGGTAATATGTGTTTGATTTCTTTTGTTGTATACATGTTTTGTGTAGCTTGTGAGGAAGAGGAGATTCTTTCCTCCTGAGACAAGGCATCTTGCTGAATGCAAAGTGCTAAATAGAAGAAACAGAAGTTTGGCTGAGCATGTTTGTTTTTTTTAGGGAGAACCTGGGAAGTGGTGGATATATTCGTAGAGTTACCGGTGTTTTATTATCTTTCTTCAATAAAGACAGAATTTGGACTTTAAATGCACAATGCATATGCAGGCAAACAAAAAAATCTATAATAGAGGTGAACTGGATAAAGAGTTACAAGAACTTCTTTTTAAAAAAAGTTCAATACTTCTATTACAGGTGGAAAAAGTTCTGTATTAACTGCTCTTATTGTTGGACTTGGTGGAAAAGCCACTGCAACTAATAGAGGCTCCTCATTAAAAATGTTTGTACGAGATGGAGAGACGTAAGTAAAACTTCTTAGTTTTAAGGTTGAACATGTTGTTTAGTGGTTGTGGTTCAGCTGATCAGTTTTCTGTTCACCTTTGTTTTCTCCGTTCTCCTATTGGATCTACCAGATTTGTGAATAAAAAGCATAATGCTGAAGAGATCATATTTAAACAAAAAACCCACCAAACTACAAACAAAAACCACATTAGAAATTTTACCAGTAATTTAACAGTAGTATACCATTGTCTCTGAACTAGCTAGCATAATGACGTGTCATGTGTATTGCCCAGTTATTGTGTATTATTTCCACAGTGTACTTAAAGATCCTACAGAAGAGTTGTGTTCATTAGGAAAAATAGGAAACTAGTTACCACTGTTTTGAGAGCAGTGACATTAATTCTTTTTCTGTCTCTCTGGTGACGTGAATAAATATACAGTACAAAGACCCTGACATACAGGTGGATTATTAAACATGCAGGACGTGGATTCACGTCTGCTGCAAGAGTGGGGATAACATGTTTAGGGGAATCAATAAAAAGATAAGAGAGGAGGTTTAAGAGTTTACGCTTACATAAAGCTATAACTCGGAGCCATAGTCTTTTCCTTTCAGAGGTGCTTGGAGTAAAATTGTTGACAGTACCTACCTTACATATAAGAACTTAATGTTGCAGCATTCACTTGAAATAGAAAATCTGAATTTAGAGCTGAAACCAATCTCATCTTTTCTAGAAGAATGCTTTAAACATTCTGTTATAGATTACTTTGGTTAGGGATGGCTGTGGGAGCTAAGCAACTGTTTTCTACAGAAGCCAGTTTGGGGACAGGAAAACAACAAAAAAGCAACTGGATTCTGCAGCCTAAATGTGGGGGCACTCAGATGGGAAGGAAAGGTGAGGGAAATCTGTTCTCACAGCTGTTTGCTTTTGGCTCATGATTTATCTGAAGCATAGAAGGTGCTAACATGTTAGTGTATGACAGCCTTTCTGGCCATGTGTCTCTGCTGTTTTGGCTCAAACAAGATAAATATATCTTGTTCTCATTGGGACTATGACTGACTTCTAGTTGTGACCTATACAAGACATGACAGTTTCTGTGGAAAATTAGAATGTTCTGATATTATTTAAGTTTTTTTTTTTTTTTGGTTTGTTTGTTTTTTTTTTTTTTTTTGGTGGTTTTTTTTTTTTTTTTTTAGATTTGGAATTAATTTTAATTGTGCTTATTTTTATTTTTCAGTTCTGCAGATATTACCATAACACTGCGAAACCAAGGTAGAGATGCATTTAAACCAGAAATGTACGGTGACTCTATTATTGTGAATCGGCACATTAATCTGGATGGAAACAGAAGTTGTAAACTGAAAAGCAAATCTGGTTGGTGTCTGTTTGTTTTGGTCTCAGTCTCAGAAGCTCTTCAAATGCTTTCATTGCTTTAAATGCCTTGATGTTAGTAAAGAAAGATGTTTCTCATTTCATTCATCGCTCAAGGATGATGTCCATTTTTTTTGTGTTTACCTTAGACTAAGAATATTTTAGGAAGTCAAAAGCAGTTGTGTCAGGTTCTGCATGATGTGAGGTTGTATAGTATTTGTTTTCATGAAAATCTGCTCATGTTATGAAGCTGAACATAGTTCTTAGTCTTTTTAAGGTTTTGTTGAATTTTCTGATTTACCTAAATTCTGTCACAGATGGTTTATGAGGCAAGGAGGGTCTTTAAGTAGAAGTCTTTCTGTACAAATGCAAATATATCAGAAAGATTAAAATAACCAACCAAATGGTGTTTCTCATTTAGGGCTAAATCTGTGTTACAGAAATACTAATTAATTTTTGACATTTACTAAGAACTGCTAGATTGAACAAAAGGCTAGGGTATTATATGTGTCTCTACTTTGGCCCTATTGGTATTTCCCCCTTTTTTTTTTTCTTTTTTTTTACCATTAGGGACCTTAATTTCCTCAAAGAAGGAGGAACTTGTAGGAATACTGGATCACTTCAATATACAGGTAATTGTTATAGTGTTTAAATTCTGTGCAATTTAAGACATCAGCATGCGATGTTGTAATTCTTCAAATAAAAGCAGTGTTCCATTTCGTTAAATGAGAGAGGTTCACCTCTTGTGTGTTCTTCCAAGATCAAATTCAATGGAAAAAGAAAATTGAAATTTATGTTTCATACAATGCAGAATAAGATTCTATCCCAGACAGATAAGTATTTGCTGCTGAGTCATGTATCCTATTAAAGGAAAGTCTTAGTATATGTAGGTTTCTTTCATACTTGGAGGTCTTTTTTTTCCTGCTCATTATTTCAGTTTCTGCTGTTGAAGAAATTGGTGTGTGTTTTTGCTGTTTAAGTGATTAAGGAAAGATCAGGTAGTGCACATGAAATTTAAATTGCTAAACATATTCAGCCTTTCACGTAATATAAACGTCTGTTAGTATGTATTGATTTTATTTTGTGGAAACTTCCATAAGAGTATATAGGGCAGTTAATTGCATTTAATGCAATACTTTGATTCGTTAAATAATGAGAAATTAAACAGGATTGGGCAAAATTCCTAATGTTGATCTTCTTATATAAATAGAAAAAACAAGCATTGTCTTTCTACAAGTCAGTTATTCTCCTGGAAACAGTTCCTCAGGTGTTCTTGTTATGGTTCCAATTTCTACTTGTTGATGTTGGATTTTTAAATGTTTTTTTTTTATTGTTGGGGTGTTTTTGTTTTTAAAGAAAAAAAGGGAGTGAGAGGAGTAGAAATCTTCATTTCTGATTCTGCTTCTCTCAGATTATTACTGAATTGCTGGCCATGGAACAGGGAAATGATTTCTTCTTTCATGGTTATGCAGTTATATGAGAATACTTTTACTTAAAATGAAAAGAAGGTAATTTATTTTTACAGATAGATAATCCTGTGTCTGTTTTAACCCAAGAGATGAGTAAGCACTTTTTACAGTCTAAAAATGAAGGTGACAAGTACAAGGTAAGAAAAATCATTCAACAGTTTGATTAAACAATAAAATAATGATTTCAAATTTTGAGAGATGGCATTTGGAGGAGAAAAATTCATGAGAATTCTTAAATTTTAATGACCTGTTTTGGGTTAAGTCAGGTAAGCAGCTAAGCACTACACAGCCGCTCACTGTCTTCCCTGCTTCCCTCTGCTTGGGATGGGAGAAGAGGAAAGGAAGAGTAAAAGCAAAAAAAGCTGTGGATTGAGATAAAAATTGTTTAAAAAAATGAAGAAAAGCTGGAGGAAGAGAGAAAGCAAGCAAAGCAAGAGATGCAAAGGCAATCACTCACCACCTCCTATGGGTAGATGGATGCACAGTTGGTTCCTGAGCAAAAGATGGTCAACCCCACTAAACCCTCTCCTCTCCCTTTTTATTGCTGAGCATGACTGTGGTGGTTTTGTCTGGGATAGAGTCAATTTTCTTCACAGTAGCTAGTAGGGGGGCTATGGTTTAGTTTTGTGCTGAAAACGGATATTTTTGTTACTCCTGATCAGTGCTTGCTGAGAGTCAAGGCCTTTTCTGTTTCTCACACTATCCCACTGGGGAGGAGGCTGGGAGTGCACAAGGAATTGGGAGGGGGCACAGCTGGGACAGCTGACCCCAACTGACCAAAGGGATATCCCACACCATATGGCATCATGCTCAGCATATAATGCTGGGGGAAGCAGGAAGAGGGGGATGTTTGGAGCGATGGTGTTTGTCTTCCCAAGTCACCATTACAAGTGATGGAGCCAGGCTGTCCTGGCGACCCACCTGCCCATAGGGAGTGGTGCATGAATTCCTTGTTTTGCTTTGCTTTGCTTGCACGTGTGGCTTTTGCTTTATTGAACTGTTTTTATCTCAACTCAGGAGTTTTCTTACTTTAATCCTTCCAGTTCTCTCCCCCATCCCACCAAGGGGGGTGTGTGAGCAAGTGACTGTGTGGTGCTTAGTTGTCTGCTGGGGTTAAAACACGACAACATTTTATGGGGTGGAATATCTCTTTGGTTAGTTGGGGTCATCTGCCTGGTTGTATCCCCTCCCAACCTGTTGCACACCCCACCAGTCTAATCACTGGGAGGGCAGAGTGAGAAACAGAGGCCTTGACACAGTACAAACACTATTCAGGGACAGCTAAAACATTAGTGTTTTATCAATATTGTTTTGGTTCCACCTCTTAAACACAGCACCGTAACAGTTGCAATGAAGAAATTTAATTCCATCGCAGCCAGTACACTATCTGACTGTAGCACTCGTCTACTTGCAAAACCGATTTTTTTGAAGTTTCTTTTCTCTAAAGGCATTGATAAATTAAAAAAAAATTAGGACACCACTGAGTTAATATAATTCAGAAACACCCCACCAGTTATTTTACTTTGGGTATCATTCAGCATGCATAGAGGTTGGGATGAGTAGTTTTTCTATGGTAAATATTTCAAGTTCGCTTAGATAAACTCCTGAATCTGACATCTGCATCTTTTTATTTCTTTTTAGTTTTTTATGAAGGCAACCCAGCTGGAACAAATGAAAGAAGATTATTCATCTATTATGAAAACTAAAGAAAATACATGTATTCAGATAGAACAAGGAGCAGAGGTATGTAAAAGTTTAATTATTAGTACAGATCTGAGCACTGACAAAAATACAGGCGTTAAACTACATAGTGTGGATTTCATTAGGTCTCGATGACATTAGATTTTAAAAGAATAAATCTTTCCAAGATTTGGTATTATATCACAGCTTTTTGCACTTATAATCGAACCTCTCTTTTTCTTTTTTTTTCTTTTTTTTTTTTTTTAAGCGTCTTGAAGAACTTAAGCAGCTTTATTATGAAAAAAAGGAACATTACAAAAGCATTGCTTTTGTGAATGACATGCGAAATCATCTTGAAGATTTGAAACATCAAATGGCGTGGGCAGTGGTAAATGTCTTGTTAAAATATGCTTCCTCTTATGAAATGCACTTTATTCCCAGTCTGCTGCAGACATTCTGATATGTGCTAATATATGCTTCTGTTTAGGTGGGTGAGATGGAAAAAGAAATACAGCCAATCAAAGAAGGCATCACAGCTGAAGAAAGAAATACGGAGAAGTTTGTTCAGAAGCTAGAAGAATGCCGGGTACCTATATAGTTTAAACCATATGTCACTAGTTTTGCCTCCTAGTCTCAAGAATAAAAATATTTAAGCTGTGATTGTCCTTTGGCTTATAAGGTATTGAAACTGGCCCTCTTAGCTTTTTGCAGGCAGCTGAGAGCATTCCCATTTATACACATTTTTACCCATCTAAAACTTAACTAACATTTGCATTCCATGTTTCATTGGATAATATTAGGACATGTTGTTTTCACTTGTTTAGTAGGGGTTATGTGTATGTGGGTTTTATGCTGATACTTCTGTTTCAGGTAAGGATTCTGTTATTTTGACTGGAAATTTGAGATGACTAATATTGCATATACCAGTGAACAGTAATTTAAACTGTTCTATTGTTGAGAGTACTTGATGCCCATTTCTGTAATGTTGGAGCATCTTTCAGAGAGCTGTCATGTAGGTTTCCTTGGCTATCACTGTGGAAAAGATCAGTGTCTGATTTCAGGAGATATCTGGAAATTTAACAGACCTTTTGGCTGGTACTTAAGACTTCCGTAGGTAGCAAGAGAGAATAATTTTGCTAGGCATTCAGATTCAGATATGAAATATATCTTTTGGAGAGAAACACTAGGCATCAGGATTTTGAACTTTTCAGTCTATTAAAAGTCATTTTTCAAACTTTCTGAATTGGCACTCATTTTTTGTTGATTTTTTTTTTTTTGTAATTTTTTTAAAAAAGTAGTATGTATTTGTTTTATAATTGAGATGTTCTTAGTTTATGGCTGAATATGTCTGTGTAGTGTTGGAGAAACAGTGTCCAGATACTGGTTTTCTTCTTTCTGTATCATGGTGCTTGACTATTGTATGAAGAGTCCTGTATTTGAGTAAACCATGAGTTAGAAAAGAAGGTTGCTGTTTACTTCACAGATTTGGTAGTTCTTTGGTTTCCTGAGTATGTTCCTTTATTGATTTTCATCTTAGCATATCTGTAGTGGCAATGACTTTTTTTTTAAGAAAAAAAAAAAAAAAGCAAATGAGACATGTTGGATGGATTCTTTTGAGAAATATTTCTTCTGTAGCAGTAAGAGGTTTTGAAGAAAATTTTGCTTCATTACTACATGTGTATCATTCTCTTTTTGCATCAAAGGTAAAAGTGAATGAAGCAGAAGAAAAGTACAAACAAATACAAGAGAAGTTAATAACCATAAGTGAAGAAGCACAAGCCCTGCATCCTCAGTGTATCTCTTTGAAGGCTGATGTACAGACAAAAAGAAAAGCAGTGAATGATGCTGAGGTAGGCAAAAAGACCTTTCAAAGTTCATACCAATTTTAAACTTTAATCCTGTTCATGCTCTACCCATATGTACTTCTCCATCCGTGTCTAGGTTTCCTGAACACATAGTACAGTTCAAAATAGGTGCAATTTCCTGTCTCACTTGCAAGTTTATGTTTGGGGGGTCCTGGGCTTTACATCTTTACACGGGTATTAAGCAGTGTTAAGCTTAGGTCTAATTAAAGATATTTCAAGTTAAGTGTTATTCTTTTTCACATTCCTGAAATTCAAGTTATGTTTTTGATGCAGATCAATGTTTATTTACTCAAAACTGTAGTTATTTTTGAAATCATTTCTTCTGTTTATTAAACTATTGTATCCTATTTCCTTCATAGGTACTTTATAATCGTTCCAAAACTGAGTTAAAACGTCTGGGAAAAGACGATGAACACCTGCGTAAACGAATTGAAGAACTGAAAAGCAGGTAAATACAGATATAGTGATTATGGTGTATTTTCTTAAGGTCTAGGTATATAAGGGAGTGAACTCTTCTGATTAATGATAAAATCTGCAGTAACAGAAAATATTTAAACTTTAGCAGGGCCCAGTTAAATATTTAAATATTTCTGATCCTGCTTTGCACACCAAGATTTTGACCAGAAGTTGGTGAGGTAATTGGGCAGGAAAAAAGCTTTGTTTTTTTGTTGATGATGATATAAATTTTCTAGCTTCCATGGTGTTGCAAAATAAATACACCTTAAAGTAAGCCCAATATGAATATAACTGGGGAGAGTTATGTGTGATTACAAATTAAAATAAAAAAAAAAAAAAAAAAAGAAAAACAAAACCAAAAAAACCCCCAAATAGTATATATGCTTTGTGGATCTTGTAAATGTGCAGAATCTTAAATATAACTTTCTCGTGTGTAAATCTTTTGTATGTTACAGGTAATAAAACAAAGTTTGTGTCACTTATAAATCATCAGTATGGTTTTAAAATATTGAGGTATGATCTTTTCTAGTGCTAGTAAGGTTTTGGAGCCTGAAAAATTGGAAAGACAAAGGAAAATTGCACACCTAAAGGAACGGTTAAAGGTATTCCGTGATGAAGAAATAATGATTGGTCAACAGGTGGATCAGTTTCATCGGGCTATATATAGGTGTAAGGAAGAACATACTAGACTTAGGTAAGTTACTCTTTTTGAATGTTACTGTTTTCATTTATTTCAAGTTATAAGAGGTTTCTCCTTATGTACCTGCAGTCCCTAAGGTATTATGCTTCCGTTTGTTTGTGGTTTTGTTTTGTTTGTTTGATTGTTTTGTTTGGTTTTTTTGTTGTGGTTTTTTTTTTTTTTTTTTTTTTTTTGTAGTTTATTACAGGACCTATTAAACTTTTGTCTTTGGCACAAAATGACTTAATTTAGAAACTTTTGGAAAATTAAGAAAACTGCTTTGTTATTAAATGTGAAGGTACTACTAATTTAAAGCCTGATATAAATCCATACTGTTGGTCTAATGCCCTTCTCTCTAATTCCCACCATCTGTCCCTTATTCTCTTATCGTATGGGCAGACTATGATTTTAATTTTTTCATGTTGTTTAATATACTACTACATCCTGATACAATGTGACAAGATATATAACACAATATAAGGAAGTAGATACACTTAGGGTTAATTGTATCTATAGTTAAGGCAAGTTTATAGAGGCTTTGAAGCAAATGCTTAAAACAACAATTTAGCCCATACCTGAGCTAGTAAAACAAATTGCTTTTTGGCTCTGATTTGGAAAAAGAACTTGAACAATGGTTACTGGAGAGGATTATGGTGATGTTGTCATTTATTGTCTTAAGAGATTTGAGAATTGTTGGTTATTGCACTCGATGTGTTAGTTTAGACATCTTGTATCAATTATTTTAACCAACAGTTACTTTGTGTTCTGTTGAAGACCTTTGTAGAAGACAGTGAAATTGAATCATATAATTAGAAATAAAATAAATTTATTAAAAATTGTTAGAAGTAAAAAAGTCTTATAAAACTGTTGCAAAGTAGTAATTTCCTTTCTTGCTTTTTTGTCTCATGTTTCTTGAAACTATAAAAATATTGTTGCATGTGTGTAGCTATCTGCACATTGAAGTATTGTGGTCTTGATACACTGTCCTATTAGTACTTGAAAGGTGAGACTTCATATTTTAATCAAATTAAGGCTTCATAAGCTGTTGCTACTGAAAAATATTCTGTTCTATTAGGAGAGAAGACTGTGTTGCAAAACAAGCACTGGATGCCAAGGAGAAACAGCTAAGAGACCTGAAAGATAGTAGAACAAATACCTTGAAAAGATTTGGATCGTATATGCCAGCATTTCTTCAAGCAGTTGAAACGGCCTATAGGGAAGGGCGCTTTAAACATAAACCTATTGGACCTCTAGGTAAGAATGACTGCTGAAGAAGACATATTTCCTCATGGGATTCATTGCATAGCTGGTAATGTAAGCAGTGATCTTTTAGAAAAGCTATTTGTTCTTTAAGGAGCTTCAGATATGTCTGTCTTCTATACTTCTGGGACTAAAGGTTTTATCCTAGTATGTTATCTTTCGCTTCTGTCATTTTTATCACTGTCCTGGTTTGGTCTGGGATAGAGTCAATGCTTCTTCTTAGTAGCTAGAATAGTAGCTAGAATAGAGGAGGGGTGGCTGGGAAGGAGCTCTCTCTCGCTTCTGGAATTGCGATTGCAGGATCTTGGTATTTTGGCATTGCTAGCTGGGAACGGGCTGAGTATTGGTCATTGGGTGGTGAGCAATTGCATTGTGCATTGCCCGTTTATAATTTCTATTATTGCCACTATTTTATATTATTACCATTATTGAACTGTTTTTATCTCAACCTGCAAGTCTCCTTTTACCCCTCCAATTCTCTCCCCCATTCCTAGGTGGGGGAGGGTGGTTGAGCGGCTGCGTGGTGTTTGGCTACTGACCAGGTTCAAACCATCACATTGAACTGTCAAACATCTACTGTTCTTCCTCATTTTCCAACTGTTTTTGTTAAAGTATTTTATGTAGTTAAATGGTAAACTTTCACTGCACTCCTACAACTCCTCCACGCCCTCAAAGCATCAGACTGCTGTGCTTTGGCTGCTTGTTCCTTGGTGGATCGAACTGCCCAGCTCTTGGACAGGTTTTGTTCAGAATGTCCAGTGGCTGACTTATGGGCTTGTCAAACTTGAGATGTTTTGCATGGAGCAACTCAGAACCAACTGAGTTTTTGTTGTAAAATATTGTTGTAGCGTTTGGTTTCATTATGTTTTTTGAGCAGCTCTGACAGTGACTGCAATCTTCAGGTTGTGAATGCAACTAATGGTTTCATCATATTCTGAATGTAAGTGTAAAGGCCATGGTACTTAAGTACTTGGCATTTACTGCAGGGTAAGAATGTGAAAACACACGTACTACTGAAGACAGGCGATACAGTGGAAATCATAGAATCATAGAATGGTTTGGGTTGGAAGGGACCTTAAAGATTATCTAGTTCCAACCCCCCTGCCATGGGCAGGGACACCTTACACTAGACCAGGTCTTCCTTTTTTCACCAGTGTACCTATAGAAGATTTTCTTGTTGCCCTTGACATCCTTGGCCAGATTTAATTCTATCAGGGGTTTGTACTTCCTAACCTGATCCCTGGCTGCTTGGACAATTTCTCTGTATTCATGCTCAAACTTCATGTTTGTTTTACTTACAGCATAGTTGTTTCTCTGCCTTCACTCTTAAAGCATTAAATTGTTGATAAGCAATCCTGTCCTTGATACACTCCTGCTGAGCTGCTATAAAATTGTTACCTTAATGGAAGTTAGTAGTCACCCTCAAAGATCTTAGAAGAAAACGTAGGCCTCTGAATGTATATATAGGAGTCTCTACAGGGAGAGAAATTATATGTTTGTGTTCTCAGGGTAGCTTGTCTGTTGTGGAGTCTTTTATCTTTTAGTTAACTACTTTATAATTTTTTTTTTTTTTCCCCTTCTTGTAAGAAAGGTTTTAGACTCTTAAAAAAAATTGTAACACAACAAACCGAAACCCTTGAGTGCTAGAATTGCACTGCTGGATATTTTGTTATAGAACACAGCTCCTAAAGCCTTGTTTCTTATGTTTACTTAGGTGCTTTCATTCATATGAAAGATGCTGAACTGGCTTTGGCTGTTGAATCTTGTTTAAAGAACCTAGTTCAGGCATTTTGCTGTGATAATCATAATGATGAAAGAAATCTTCAGCTACTGATGTCTAAATATTATCCACATGGAATTAGACCTCAAGTAATCGTAAATAAATTTCGTAATGAAGTTTATGATGTTAGACACAGGTAAGTTATGGTTTGAATTTTATTGCTTAGCCTTGTTGGTTTAAAGTATTATTAGTTGAAAAGTACTCCTTGTAACTTTTTTTTAAAGAATTTCATGTGAACTTTATGAATAGTGTTTTTTCTTGTTTTCTTCAGAGCAGTTCATCATCCAGAATTCCCATCAGTTCTCACAGCATTGGATATAGATCATGCAGTGGTTGCCAATTGCTTGATCGATGTGAGGGGTATTGAAAAAGTCCTGCTGATTAAAGTAAGGCTCTCCGCTCCCTATTGGTCTTTAAAGAAAAGCATTTTCTCTTTGTATGGAATATACACGATACTTTCACTGGTAGTGTCTGTAATGAACAAAAGAGGTAGAGAAAGATCATTTTACTGTTTTTTTTTGGCCCCTCTGAGGAAGAGGTGAGGACCCTGATGGCTCAGTAGACCCCTGACTGTATCAGTTGCCAGTAGACACAAATGTACATAACCACTGAGCTCTCCCAGTAAGGCCCTCTGGGCATTCAGTAACCTGTCATTATCCCACTTCAAATGCTGTTTTCTGTCATGGACGAGAGAAATTAAAGTGACATCCCATAGTGGATTTAGATACTGGGATTTATTTAAGAATCAGCAAGGTTAGAGCTTTTATTCTTATTTCCATATGTTTACTTGTTTCCCTGGCCCCCTAGCACTACCTTCATAGGTCTCAACTTCGCTGCAGGGCTGGTCTCAATCCACTCATCTCCCAGCCTATATTTGTGACTTGTGACCAGATCACTGCTGGTCAGGGAAGGTCAGGCATAAAATCTTACCAGTTCCTGCAGTGCAGCTGCTCGTAGATACCTGTTTGGGCTGTTACTGGTCAAGGTCCCTGGGATTTGTCTACAGATCTCTCCCCGTGTGTTTCCAGGATCTTCCCTGTTAGTTTCTGGGATGTTCACCGTCATCCTTTTGGGCCTCCAAGTGGTCTGGTTTCCCAGTCTAAATAGTCCATGTGAATGTGATTAGCCTCTTAACTGTTACCTATCTCATGTCTTTTTACTACTGAGTTCAGGATGTGTCAGTTTTGTGTAGTCCAGGTGTTACCAAAGTTTGTAACCAGCTGGTACCAGTTGTACCTAGCAACTGGTAACTAGGTACCAGTTGTAGCTGTAGCAGGCTTGTGCGTGAGAGTTCAAAAGTTCCCTTTCAGATATTCAACCACTCGCTCTTACCTTAAATTAACAGCCACATGCTTTCATTCACAGCCTAATTTATCTTTCACCTACCACAACAACCAGAGCCCCTTTGGACTCTGCAGCGTTGAAACATTTGCGATGAGAGAGTGCAAAGAAACATGGTTGTAGATAGAGTCTGGTAAAATAAAAAAAACAGCAATGATCAGTTAAGTAGGATTTGAATGAAGTGACTAACAACTGGTATTGAACGAAGATTACATACTATTTTGACGATCTATTTTTTTATGACCATAAAAACATGCTAATGAACTGTTTTCTGCCACTATATGCTTTTTGATCTTAATTTACTTCGATTTCTCTGTTAACTACTGAAGATACCAGCTTCTGCATATAAGATTACAGGTGAAATGTTCAAAGATAAAAATAAGATGTATGTCTTTTTATTTAAAGGAAGCAGGGTATTCTATAAGTAGCAGAACTAATGATGCTTACTTCCCATGGACTTTTGTTTTTCTCCAAAACTACTTGTGCCAGTTTGTTCTCTGACATTTCTGCTGGAAAAGAGGCAGTTTATGCTCTTGTCTAGTGTAGAGCTGACTGACTGTTTATGAAGCGTGGCTGTTAATGAATGTAACAGTTGAATCTTCTGGGCTTTTCTCATAGCAGAAATGCTAGTTTTGTTCTTCTCCCCTCTGCCTTACATAACCACTGATTTTCATAGTTATCTTTGAACCCTGCCTGAAAAATTTAATCCAAATCTGAAAGACGTTGAATGGGTATTGTGTGGAAGAAATGACACTTCTTAATGGATAACATGATTGCCTTCGACTAAGGAACTTGTGACCACTTAGTCTGTCACTGGCAATGCTTTTTTGACCAGCGTGTTCCCCCAACTTTAATTGAACATAGTTTGTTGTGCTTCACAGCTTGTCTTGGAAAATGGTTTACTGTATGTGTATTTCACTTTTGCTAATTAAATATACCTGTGCATAGTGACCTTTTGGTTAGTAATTTTTTTCCATGGCAAATTATAAGGGACTGATTAGACTACAGAATTACAATGCAGATAAATTTGTAATAGATTAAAAGAAATGGGCAGCTAAGCCAAGTGGGTGGTTTTTGACAATGTATATGTCATATTCAACTCAGAAGAGCAGATTCTTGACATTACAGATTTTTTTTTCACATTCTTTCATTAGTTTATTCCTTAATTTCCATTCCTAATGAAAAATATTTCTGGCTGAGATCTTTCAGACAAGCTTTAAATTGATATCTTTATGGTTGCTTTTCTATTGGTATAATAACAGCCATTGTATTTTTCAGAGTAGCCGTAAAGCTCGTGAAGTAATGCAGCTTAATCAGCCCCCAAAAAATTGTAGAGAAGCTTTCACTGCTGAAGGTGATCAAGTATTTGAAAGACGGTATTACTCTTCTTACTACATCAGACCCAAGTACCTAAGCAAAGACGTTGAAACAGAAATAAGGTTAGCATCTTGTAATGCTGTCTTTGTAAAAAGTGCACTTGTTGACATGAATAGTGGAATTGCATATTTGTCTATTTGCATGTACACTACTTTCCAGTCTTTCTATCCTTTTTCTGGGATTTATGCTTCCTTTCTGAGAATTATGGAAAACCTCTTTATTTTAATGTTTTTCTGTGATAGGTACAAACCTCAGTTGTACTTACATATTTTTCAGCTTGTGGCATGTAAATCTTGCCCAGCAGGTAGGGCTTTGCTGGGCTGAATACTCCAGGAAATCTAGCTACCTTCCTTTTTGTTTTTCACTTGCTGAAAGAGTATGGAGTCAAAGCTGTTTCTTTAAAAATCTAATACCTGAACAGTGGTATTATAGTTTACTGCAAAGGAAGCTGCATTATTCAAACCAAAGTTATGTTGGCACACATAGTCCTACTGCTTTCAAACTCTGCATCAGTGTTTTCTCAGACTTTTGACTTCACTCATGGTAGGTCTCTGATAAAGTTGACTTCGTTCCTTGCCCCAGTTTTATTTTTTTACTGTATTTTTTTTCTTACTGCTTTCAAAATAGCAGTTTAAAAAGTCAAACATATTTCAAAGTTTACAGACTTGAGCTGTCACCAAGCAAATTAGTGACAATAGAATACTTTTATTTTGAGGCTCAGATTATATTACAGACACATTAAGTAAATATTTTAATTTTAGTATTAATAGCTGATAGTGTGGACTGAAGTGAATGTTAAAAATTTATTTCTGTTAATTCAAAAGTTTTAAATATGTCAGTTGACTCTGTTTTGTTCATGTCAGTATATAATGAACTTCACTCAAAGATTATCTTAACTTTCAAATTGTTATAGGCATTTCATTACCAAAATTGCTATGGGGAATGATGTAGCCCAGTTAAAATGGAAAAATGTCTTATTACCTTTCTCCAGCTGCCCCCCCCCCCCCCCCCCCCCCCAATTTGAGAACTTAGCCTAAAGCAATAACTGATTTATTTGGAATAGTATATGCAATTTATTAAAGACTGATTCTGGGATCAGAATCAGTCCATTTCATACATCTATAACAAAAGTTGGATTAAACACTTGTATTAAGTTTGTGTTTTGTTTTTTTTTTTTTTTTTACTGTAATATTAGTAAAGCTTCCCCTTTCTTTCGCAGAGGTGAAAGACTATCAAAGTTTTGCCATCTATAAATGGTAATAAAAAATAGCATTGTTTAGCATTTCAAATAGTTTTACCATGAACTGAAAGAATTAATTATGGAGATTGTTAGACATGACATTTCCTTTGTAGAATAAAAATTATGACACTATAATTTTTTTTTTTTCACATCTCTCCTAATTTATTTTCTTTCTGACTGGAAGTGTGTTGTCCTAGTCAAAGAATTTGTTTTATTTCAAGATGCAGTAGTATTTTTAGAAATAGCACCACTGTTTAGTTCAAACATTTGGCCTGTTTGTGAAAATTGCTAACAGGTTACAGGTGGTTCAAATCACATGAATGGTTTATCCACTAGGCACTGAACTAAGACCATCAAGCAGCTATCTGCTGGTTATTAACTATGAGTTTTGCTGTAGAGCTTTGGTGTTTCTTTATTGATTGTTAAAACTACTCAATGCATAACAAACTTAAGATTTTATTCTTTTTAGGGGAGCGCATTTTTACCCTTTCTCTTGTCATACATTTAATTTTTATTTGTGGATTTCTGTGTGTGTAATAAATATTCGTGTAATATATCTCAATGTCACTTTGTTTATAAAGTTTCTTGGAGAAGGAAATTGAAAGCAAAAAGGCACAGTTGGCAGCATCTCAGCAATACTTATATTCCATTGAAAATGAGATTAGGCAGAATGAAGGACATCTTCATTGTCATCAACAACGCCAAAAAGAACTACAGGTAAAAATAGGCACAGAATTAGTTTTTAGAAACTGGTCAGTCTTTCCCTATTACATTTTGGCTTCTGCAGTGTATTTTGAGCAGATAATAGTTTTTAATGTTTATCCTTTTGTTGTTTGCTTTCATGTTGCATACTTTTGCTGTATGCTTTCAGCATTTAGGACAGAATAATAGAGGCCATGTCAATCCTATCATATGCTGTTGTTTGTGTATGGTATCTCTTATTTTTTCCCCTCTTGTGCTAAATCTCTCACAAATTACTGCTTTTTTTTTGACAAAAATAGGAAGTTACTGCAATACTTGATGCAAGTTTCTTTTCCCTGCTGTCCCCTCATTTATTTCTGTTGAGCCTTAGCTCTTCATTTCCAGAATCTTGTTTCTCTCTTTGTGTTCTCTTAAGCCATTTTAATATGCTGAATATTTCACCTTTAAGTTTTCTTAATTTTAATTTCTTTATAAGATGTTTTATAGCTATTAGTTGTCTGTCTTTTTTTTTTTCTAGTACTTCTAGACAGGATATATATTTGTGGTGGCCAATGATGTTAGTTAGACAGTATAAGGTAATACATACTCTGTAAGGTTATATTCAGTAAATTATAAATAAGAACCAGCAAAAAACTTGGCATGTGGACTCAAATTGCTGAAGATAAATATTTGAAGGAAACATAACATATATTTTATTCAATTGTCACGTTGAATGGAAATACAGTAATAACTTAATGATTTAAAGTGCATGTGACTTTCAGAACAAGTTATATCTTATAAAAATGGATTCCATAGGTAAGTGGTAGGAGTTCTGTCTTTTGTAGACACTAGTGAAACTAAAAGACCAAACATCTTGCTTTCTGTTTTGACCTAAAAGAACAAATGTGAACTTTTCTCTTTAGGTAAGTTTAAGAATATTTATTTTTCTTTTTAGATAAAAATAAGAACAACAAATGCAGAAGTAGCAGATCTTGAAAACGTGGAAGAACAACAATCAGTGGACATCCATACATTAGTAAGCATAGATTATCAAATTATGACTAATAAGGATATGAAATAATGTCTTCTAATGTTGGCAGTTTTTGAAATATGTAAATACTGTAGATTTTCAACTGCTGTACAAGTTGGATACATAGTGAAGAGTGTAACACTCTACAGAATGTCTACACTTATGGCAATGCCATTATTTTATTTATTTTTGGTGAAATCTTTGTTTGGTCCCTTTTTTTTTTTTCTTTCTTCATTTTTCGCTTATCTTTCTACCCTTTTTCAAATCAACGGCACCACAAGTTTATGGATGGCAAGGTGTTGTTGTAAAAGGATATTTTGTGCATTTTCTTTCCTCATTCCAGACCTGCAGTGCTGTAAAAGACTGGTTAAGGAGAAGCAGTGCTATAGGTTTGCAGGGCAGAAGTGTCATCATCAAAGCATAGGTAAAAGCCACTCTGGATCATAATTAATGTCCCTGCACTGCTGCTCTGTCCTGAACCCACAGTTTCTTGCTTTGATGTAGCTTCACTGTGCAGAAGTTTTAAAGTTTATGTATCACCTTAGGGAAGGATCATGGTAGTATGATGGTTCCTTCAAAGTTCTTACCTATGTTTTTCTTTGAATGTGTGTATAGTAGTTTAAGAACAGAAAAAATGTTTGATAATCTACTGTGATTTATATGTTGGTGGCCATGAATTTTCAACAGTCACTCTGAAATAAGCTAATGTATAGATGGCCAAGATTTCAGTTCTGGGAATCATGCTGATAGATGTTAATAATAATCCTGACTACAATTCAGTTAAATTCTATGCCAGTTTTCCCACTATTTTATCTGGTATCAACAAGAAGCTAAATTGCCCAGAACTTTTTCATTTTTGTCACTGATGTTGGCACAAGCTCACGCTTCTTCAGTAGTTTGACTTTCGGTGTGTGTGCACACGTGCGCATGTAAGTAAACATTTCAAAATTTACTCAAAAAGTAGGGAATCAGTACAGATTCTGTAAACTCTTGTACAGTTTCTCTTTTCCAGATAATCTAGTTCCGTCGGTTTAAAAAAAAGTATATTGTTTAATTTTTTGGTGAAATGCAAATAGTCTGTTATCTTTTTGTTGGAGAATATCTTCCTGTTCAAAAATTATTGCTTTTTCCACATTAATGTTTTTACCATTGCCTTCTGATGATGGTCTTATGCAACTGCTACATTGATATATTTGCTTCTTCTTACTCCTATCTTGGATTTTTAATACTTTTCTGTTATCTGCACTTTCTGACTACTATTATGGATTAATTCCTGCTCTTTCACTTAGTATTTGTCTTTCATTGCTGCCTTAATTTCATAATTGTTTGATCATGAAAGTGGATCTTAGCAATCCAAGTTTCATTTACATGTTTTTCTGAGGTTTTGGAATATTTGTGCTTTTCAAATGAGAAAGTATGTATGATGATAATTCATTAAGAATGGTATAATTTTCTTGGAAACAGTGACAATCCACTTACTCTTCCTGTATTCCTTTGTATACTAGATGTATATACTCTGTGACAGAGCCAGAGGGGAAGCTACCTTGTTCTTTTATTTAAAAAATTACTGTAGTAAATATTAGCATGGCTCAGTCTTCACAAAACGCTAACCCCTTTAGTCTTTTCATCACAACTCCCAAATAAAGTCCCCTTAATTTTCAGTCAGACAATTAGGAAATTCCACTTTATTTTGAAATTTGATTTAGGGCTGGCCTACCAGATCCGTCAGTCTCTTCTTTTCGGCTTTAGTGACAACTACATTGAGCTGCTCATGTTCTTATTATAGGGTATTGCATGTAAGCTTGTACCCTGATAGTGATAATAAAATAAGAATCTTGTACAGTGGTTTGCAAATGTCAGCCTCCTTTTATTATTCTTCATTTTAATATGTTTTGTCAGGAAGAGGAAATTGAAGAAAATAAGGGTAGGATGGAGTCTGTAAAAAAAGAAATGCAGCAACAAAGCAGAACAATGGACGAACTGAAAAATATTCTCCAGGAAGCTGAAAGAAAATTTGCAGAAATTAAAGAAAAAATTCATCAAGTAGAAGAAATTGCTGGTCCAATTAAGGTAGCAATAATTTCATACTGTATTTTTAATTTGTTTCCTTTGTGTGGCAAGAGGAATGAGGTTAAAATGAGGCAGGAGGAAAGAGTGTGCTCCTTCCTGATGTATTTTAAGGTCTGCCTATGAAAATGGAAATAGAGTGTTCCATCTAGAGCACGACAAGAAATAAGCTTGGCAATATTTTGAAGATATTAAGTGTAGTTGCTCTAGTGTTTTATGTTTAAAGAGAGTTTGTTTCCAGGTATTTTTAGTCATGGACTGAAAAGGAAGGAAAAAAAGTTTCCTTGGCTTTACTTTTTAGTGCATCACATTTGTTGTTTTGGCTTGCTTGTTTGTTTCTGATAAGGCCTGGATAAGAACGTTCATAACTGTTCAGTTTTCAAAAGAGCATTTGAAGTTCTCTATGGAATGCTGGTTGTTCCTGTAGTTGTGTAATCACAGAAGGTACCCATACATAGTTTTAATTATTCGAGGCTACAGAAGGCACCTGGAAATTGCAAAAAAGTAGCAGGAGTTAAGATAAACATCAGAGGGGTGACATGCAAGACTTGATATTGGCAAATGGAAGGCAATCAAATGTCGCCAAGCAGAATTAATGGTTTGAAAATGTAAAATAAAAATAAGAGTCCATCATGTTTACAGTATGATAAATTTGTAGAAGGATGAAATGAGGAAAAACTTGGAAAGATCAATATAAGAATATCTTATATGCCTCACTTAAATTGTATATTGCTATGTGGTCAGCCCCAATTAAAAAAGCAAGAGTAAACAAAAAGAGGAAGGAAACAGTTAAGGAAAACAGCTGATAAATATGTTAGGTACAGTGTATCTAATGTGGAAATTGTAAAGATATGTTCTATTTAAGAAGAACTGTGTAAGGAAAGAGAATAGATTTATTCAGAGTATTAGGACATTGTCCTCCTTATTAAGAATACTAAACGCAATAGAGGACAACTCTAATCTAAAATCCTTCCAGAAATTTAAGATGTACTGCTCTCTGTTCTACAGTTATGTAATGAACTCTTGACATATGGCAAGTTGTGGCTTTAAGGCAAGATTAGAAAAAGATAAGAACATCCATTATTGTAGGGGATGGTTGGTTTTGTTTGTTATGTTGGTTTTGTTTTTTGGAGGTGTTTTGTTTTTTTTGTTTGGTTTGGGATTGTGTTTTATTGTTGTTTCTTAAGATAAGCCATCTAGTTGACAGGGCTGAAGAAGAAAATTGTTTTCTAATTTATGTCATTCTTTATACCTCTTTGCTTCTCTGGAAAGATACAGTATCACTTCAGCCGTATCAACGTTTACGTAGTACAGAAGTTGCTGTAGTCTACATCGTACTATAGGTATAGAAACACACTGAGTTTTCAGAGAGATGCAGTTCTGGCTGATGTCACACAGGCATCAAAAGCTCTGACTAGAATGTAGTGTAAAAAATATACATAGCTTTTGGAGGTTTAGGGGAGAGTATGTTTTTTTCAAAGATCAAAACATCCCCTCAAGATAACAATTCCTAAAAACATTGCAAACATTTCTTATGTCCTTGTCAGAATTGAGTACAGATGTTCTGATAAATTGCTGTTAAAGCTCCTGGACTTTAGAAGTAGTCTTACTGAAAGCAAAATAAATTAGACAGTGTTAAAAACAACATAATTAGCTGTGGTAAGTTAGTGAACATTAGAGATGCTAGAATGGGGTAGAATCTACCCCAAACAGCTCACATCGTGATTTATTCCAAACAGGATGAACTAAACCAAGCTGACTCAGAGGTGGAAAACTCTAAACACCTTTTGCAGCACTATGAAGACAAGCAGAAAGAACACCTGGCTTGCATAAAAAGACATAAAGAATTACTAGCTGCTAAAGAAAAAAAATTGGAGGTAGGTATAAGGGTTTTTTCTGTATTGAAGTCAGATGGTCATAATCCTTCTAATATTTAATCATATGTCATTCCACTTGTACAACTTACAGACCATATTAATACACAGCTACACTGAGCATTCTCTCAGCTGTGTCTTAAGCTATCTAAATCAAGTAAAAGTAATTTGTACAAATGTATCAAGGCCTCTTTTTGTCTGGCAGAGCACCATTTCTGTATTGACAGGTAAGTTTGGGGTTATGCATCTAGAACTATTTCTTCTGTATTTTGCAATGAAAAGATTAAAATGACTCAACTTTAAAATTTGTGTTTTAAGTTAAATCGAATGATACTGTTTTTGTTTTTTGGATGCTAGCTTTTTCCTTGTACAGACCTCATACTTGATCTTTTGAAGATTTATCTAACCAAGCATTATTAACTAACTCTGAAATAACATCCGTGAAGACTTTTGGAAAACTGCCCTATTTAAATATGGTGCATTTGGTTCCTTATTTATCTGTATTAGCTAAATAATTGTGAACTTATTTAATAATTCAAATGGATACAGTTCTTGGCACTGAAATAACTACTTACCTAAAATGTTAGTAAAAAGTTGTTAATGACAACTAGGTTTGCTGTGATAAGTACACAAATAACGATACAAAAATATTTTTCTTGCTTGGAGACTTTGTTTTTTCATAGCACAAAATATTTGTTGTGAAGACTAAACAGATTTTTAAAAAATGTAATAATTGAGTTTCAAACTTTTTACTGTAGGAAAAAATGGCACAAGCTAGGCAAATATACTCAGAACGCATAGAGGTCAGCAGAACTGTTAAGAGTCTTGATGCAGAAATGAATCGCTTGAGAGAGAGGATAAATTCAGAAAATAATCGCCATGGAAACAGAGAAGAAATAATACAGTAAGTCATCTTTAATGTCTAAATTAGTTCAGGTAAGATGGAAAAGATAAGGGAAAGAATATTGACTCACAATGCATGTATATGTGTTTTTAGTACTTAAACCATGTACAAAAGTATAGAAACATGCTGTGCTGATTGCTCAGTCAACTAGTACTGAACAGATTTAGGAATGCTGAACTACCTGCTAGTGATTTTAGACAGTGTCTGTACTATATATATGAAGTTACCAATAATCGGATACCCTCTTAGTGCTTAGAAGTTTCACAGTTATGACCGCATGCTGCGAACATAACTGTTGTTCTGTGATGCAGTAAGCATTAAGTATACTTCTAGTTTGAATAAATAATGAGGACGTTAGGCAATTACTTGAGGTTTTGACTGCAGTGTATTTCAAGGAATCACTCACCGGATATTCTAGAGCACGGGGACCCCAGTCATTCATTCTCCTTGGTGTAAGAGTTTTCTTTCAAAGGAATTAAAAATAGAAGTAAAATTTAATTTTTGACTACTTTTCATTTCTGAACAGTGTCTTAAATGACTCATCAAATGCTTTTAGCTTTAATGTAGATCCTCACAAGAAGGTTTTTATTTGACTGTTTTGATTATCAAATTGATTTTCAGTATTTACAACAATAGCTCGGTTTTATTGTAATGCATGTTGATTCTAGACTTTCTGTTAATTAAAACAGGCAATTTCATGATGCAAAGGAAAGATATGAGGATGCAAACAGTAAAGTAAAGAATTTAAAGAACTTTATTAGGCTGCTGGAAGAAATAATGACACAGAGATTCAAAATATATTGGCAGTTCTTAAGGTGAGTTAATTTTGCTGTTATTTCCAGTTTCAGATAAATTAATATATAGATGTCATTATGTGCCCATATTCCAGGGTGGAAGGTATTATAGCAGACCTGTGAGAATGAGATGTCTTTAAGGTGGTATTCACAGCAATCTTTCTAATCTAACCTTGTTCCCAGATCCAGTAGTATCATGTCTGACAGTTTAGAGATGGCTTGGACTGACAGCTGGAGAAAAATATCATCGGTGGAGGCTGTACTTTGCTTCACAACAAAGGCCTCAACGATGTTGACTTAATCCAAGGCACTTCTGTTCCAGTGTTTCGGTGCTGGTTTTAGTTAGTAAAGTATCAGCAACATACTAGCACTGAAATCATCTGCACTGTCACTCATTTTCATTGAGTATAATTAGTGGTGCTGTGCTCATGTAACTTCATTGTGGGCCAAACACTTTTTCTCTGCCCTGTGCTGAAAAGTATTTCAAAATCTTTATTCAGATTCTGCAGTTTGACAGCTTCTCTTGTGGAGTGTGCACGCTTTCTTTCTTGTTTCAGTCCCTTAGTGTTTTATACCTACTAATGAAGGTTTTGTGGTGGCCTCCCTTTGAGAGGACTGACGGTCTGTTTTCCAGTGCAGTCCTTTATTGTTAATCATTCCCTTTAGCAGAAGTTGAGGGATGATATCTGTGTAGGCTCTGCTGTTTCTACTATTTGATCTGGGATTTGGAGAAGGTGCCAGCATGATTCTGACAAATAGTAATGATCAGGAGAATCCCAACCTTTGCAGGTGGAAGTATAGAAACAGCAGTGGGTAAGATTTACCTGCAGAATCTGATGCTTGCCTTATGGTGCCCATATTTGTCAAACTGAATCTTTTTCCTAGTGCCCAAATTTGAGTATGAGTCCCACTTTGAGATGTGTTAAAGAACGGTAGTTCTTTCTTGAAGGAACTGTGATGTATTGTCTATTGGGGAATTATATGCTAGAATTAGGGGGAGAGGATGGGGGGGAGAAATTAACGCTGTTTAAAACCTGGAGTCTAGCAGAGTCCACCTAAATTCTTTACTACCCTTACTGTGCAGTCTTAGTAATGCACAGGAAAGAAGTGGAATGTGGTAAATTTCTGTTGAAGTTGTGGAAGAACGGTGTAAAAAGCTTCTAGTCTATTGAAACAGATTTCTAGAACATAAAAAGCCTGTACATCTGGGTTTCTTACCATGTTACTTTGTGTCATTGATTCTCTCCAGTATGTCTGGTATTGATGTCACCCACTCGGGAGCGTAATGGATTTGGGAAAATGTTATTAATGGAGCAAGGCTTAATATTTAAAAATTATGGTGTGGAACTGTTGATAAAAAAAACTGTTGTCACTTTTTCAAGTTTTTTAAAATTTACTGACCTAATGTTTGCTTGATTTAACTTATTTAAGGCTCCTTTCTTTACGATGCAAACTCTACTTTGACCATTTATTACGTATTCGAGCTTGCTCTGGAAAAATACTTTTTGATCACAAGAATGAGACACTTTCAATAACAGTAAGTTATTTTATATTACTTCAGTTATCATAACATGCAGTGAATTATTATTATTTTTTTTAATATTGGCTTCTAGAACATGCATTGCAAAGGACTGAATAAATTGTTCTTCCCTCTCCAAAATGTGATATGCTAAATCGTAGGATCTTGTTGAAAACAAGCAAGAAGAAAAAACATACTGCTATCTTATATGGCCAGGTTGTTAGATTACATGGATAAATTCGGACTATCATCTTATGCCAAGGATAAGAATTCACTAGCAAGTCATCCTAGTCAGTCTTTCAAAATTAAAAATTGATTGAAAGGAAGTTTGCCTTTATTTGTGTGATTGAATAATGGTTCTAGTTGTTATTAAAACAACTTCTAATGGCTGAAAGTTTCAATGTTTTTTCTGTGTATCTTTTAACATACCTCCCAAAAAGTTTTAGTCATGGGGGTGTTTACTTTTGTTTCTGTGGGAGAGGTTTAGTCTTATGAATAGAGGGGAAAAATGTGTAGTGACAACATAAACATGTGTTGACAAAGTGCTAATTAAACAGGAGAAGGATATGTGTCTGAAGAACTCAAACTCAGTCCATAAAATATCAAGTCATTACCAGAATATTTTTTTTTTTTGTAAATAGCTGATGTTTCATGTTTCTCATGCAAGAGATCTGTATTTAGTTTAGGAAGGTAAATTGCAAAACAACTTCCCCCTACCCCCTGAAAACACAAAAAGACCCTACTTCAAAATAATTCTTATTTTCCTGCTTGGTTTGTAAAAGGTAATGTGATTAACAGGACAAGAAAATGCTTAAGTTTAAGATTAAAAGGTAAGTACCACAAGGTGTCATCATAGTCAATGGAACCTAAGTACTAATCATAATGTTGCATGTATTCCAGCAAAGAAACTGTTCTTCCTTTAAGCTCATGCTGTAAATCAATTACCTGCTTTTCTATTGTAGCTGGTAACCATTGGATTTTATCGTAATATAACTAGACTGGTTCACATTTATTAAGCATTGTTTAATAGGTATTAAAAATAGAGAATTGAATAGGAAGACACTGGCAGAGCTGCTCAATCTGTTCAATGTATTTTCCAGTGATGGAGAAAGTTGCAGTGATCCTAGAAATGTGCTATTAAATGGTTAGGAGACATCCCGTTCCAGAATGGCAGTGGCAGTGAAGTGCTTAAAATTGTTCTCAAGTGATCTCTATCTAGATGTCTATGTATAATGCATTTGCCATTAAAATTATCATTCTGTTAGTAAATCTCTGTGTCAGGTTTAAAAATTGCTCTAATGTTTTTATTTCAAGGTTCAGCCTCGAGAGGAAGACAATGACCTTAATGATGTGAGATCTTTATCAGGAGGTGAACGTTCCTTCTCAACAGTTTGTTTCATTCTTTCTCTGTGGTCCATTACTGAATCTCCTTTCAGATGCTTGGATGAATTTGATGTCTACATGGTATAGTTTAAACTTAAACCACATTTGCCATTCTGATTTGTATAAAGTAGTGAAATAGTTGGGTTATTTGTATTTGGTTATATTTTATAGTTAACTGTATAATTATAGTTAACTGTAAATAATAAATAAAAAAACCCCAAACCAAAACCCAAATCCCTCAAAACAAAACTTGTTAGGGATCTTGTTCTATTTGCTTAATGACTTTTGAAGCGTATTCTATTTCTGAAGTTGATACCCATAACTATAAGCATCTGTTATTTTACATGCTTAAACCTTAGGTTCAGCACAAAAATCGCAAAATATAACTTTTTATTAGTTCCCTGTGCAGTTGCTGTTTATCACAAATTGCCTCTGAATATTGCTGCAACAGTTCTGGGCTTAGCATGTGCTTTGGCTTCTACCAATTTTAATATCAATGTGGCTTTTTTTCAGAGCAAGTGTAGCAATTGAGTTTGTTGCTACTCAGAAATTTGTTTTATACTTTATCTAATAGCATCTTTCCAAGATGCTGAAGTGCAGAATAATGAACAGTAAATGCTAATGTCAGCTGAAACTGCTAAACTTCATCTTTGTGTACAGCTTCCCTGGATAAGTGGTTAACCAATTTTAAAATAATTTTTATTGTATTTCCTTCTTATTAATATGCAGAGTGGTATGGTTTGAGAAAACAGTTCTGAGACAAAGAGTTGATACTGGATTATTTAATTTTTCTTTCAGTCTCCCTCCCCCATCGATTATTTTTTAACTAGGAGTCACAGACCTAGAGGGGAAAAAAAAGATAATATGCTTTGTATATAAAGAATTTTAAAAAGGAAAGTGTGCATCTAATGTGGTCAAGCAGTCGTTTTTCAGACAACTTCCAAAACTTAAGTCCTCCTTTACAAGTTAGATGTGCAGAAGTTTATCCATCTGTCCAGAAGAGGGTGGATACTCAGAACCATAGGCCTTGCAGAGAGTTTCCATGACATCTGTTCCATAAATAATTCCACACAATTTTTCTTCCAAGTGCTGTGCTGATAAGTGCGACCTTACTGCCTCCATGTTCTGTGGTTGCTTTTGGTGTAATCCTGGAGACCAACCACAAGAGGACTCCATCTGCATATTTGCAAGGGAGATACCCATTTTGCTGTGTAACCATGTATAGAAGCACAGCTTTGTTTAGCCCCTGCTAATAACAGCTTCCTGTTACATACCTTTTTCAGTAAGCCTAATGCATAAGGTTGTGTTCAAAATAGTAGTAATAATTATAATAATAATCATAATAAAAGTAAGCTACATAATATCTTAGGTTTCATGCAGCCCTTAAATCCTTTCAGGTAGTTTTGAGGTAGGATTTTATAGGAAACATTGCTCTACTAAAATACAGTTCATCTCAGCAAACCAATAAAGTAAGAAGTCCTACGTGTACATCAAAGCTGATAGAAAAACACTGTGAGTAGGAGTGTGTGATTGTTCCAATAGAAGCTTTCTATTGTCCATATATACTAAAAAATAAACTTTTAAGAATTTCCCAGACTATAGTTTGTAGCTTTTAGAGTTTAACTTGAATGTTTCTCCAGCTTAGTTTATATTAGACTTTTCTTTAGCTAAGATTTAATGTATATGCATTAATTCTGATAGTTTTTTCTATTAAGATATTTTCTAATAAATTTATTCCTAAGCATTTGTCCTATTTTGTTCAATAATAGGCCAGTGAAGTACATGGTCAGTATTACTACCTGATAAATCTTTTGTCTTTAGGACATGGTTAACAGAAGAATTGCAATGGATATGATTCTTAAAGTGGCTGACTCTCAGCATCATCGACAGTTCATTTTGCTCACCCCACAAAGTATGAGGTAATACTGTTGTGTTGCATTTCTTGGTACAAAAATTGCAAGGAGGTTCTATTGCAAGGAGTTTTAAATTGAAAAAAGTAAATATGAGGAAAAAGACATTTTGGTATTTGTAGCTGCAGAACATCGCCAATCAAGCAGTTAATTGCTGAGGGCTCTGGGAATCGAGTACATTTTTCACTCTTCCTTACATAATGTCTCTTAATATGGTAGTTCAGTGGGACTTGAATCAGTTTATCTTAAGTTAAACAGCTTTTTGAAATTTTTTATTCTGTAAAGTGGGTTTCTGGTATATTTTAGCTCTTTATCTCCCTTTCTCATCCCCAAATTAATAGAAGACGCTGCATTTTTCCATTTTTTTTTCTTTTTTTATATTAATACTACAGTACTTTCAAGATGCTTGTCATTTGAGTTTTGTTTTGTTTTTTAATATCACTGATCTAAAAACTGATAACTTCTTGTTTTCTTTTTTTGATCTAGTAGCCCAAAATTCTTTAAAAAGCTCTATATAAGTCCCTGGTAAGGCTGTGCCCAGCTTAAGGAGACAGTCACTGTCTAACCTTATGCAGCCAGCACTTCCATTAGCCAAATGTAATGAGTGAAGTCTCTGGAGGATAACTAAGCAGTCTTCAAAATGAAGTTGGTTTACTCTTAATTGTTTTTCCCTTGCTAAAATCTATAAATGGTATAATAATGGTATTCTGTTGCTATGTGAGTGGAAATGCTTTGTGGGCAATTTCTGAAACTGTATTCAATAAACAGATGGGAATTTTCTGTGTGGTTACTGTTCAAAAGTTTAATTCAAGTGTAGCTTGGTTTTGTTATATTTTGTTACATGTTGCATGTTCAGCAAACATTTAATGTAACAAAAGTATGGAGGCACCTTCAGGAAAAGTAGGTTTAGGATAATTGGTGGAGAAGCCTGTATAAATGTATGTTTAGTACCTTTGCTCTTTAAGTGTGATGTGATTATACATGTATGAAGTGTGTGCCACTTCAGAATCTGAAAGGCAAATATGAATAGTATTCAATCATTATGTCATTTGACGTTTCTTTTTAAAGTACCTTTCCTACAATTAAGGTAGTCTAATTGTTAGAAACCACATGACTGAAATCAGTCATTGTCTTTACCTCAGGCTTTTAGTGGAGTCTGCAGCATCAGTTCAGTGAAGCCAGAATGTCACCCCATGTTAATTTTTAAAAACTGTCAAAGAAAAAAAAGATGGAGTTATTTAAAGGAAAATATATAATTGAAAGAATCAAATGGAAATACTAACATTTGTGGAGAAGCAGCACTGTTTAAATGATGCATACTTTATTTTTAGTTGTCTACCTATAGGTTCCCATATTCGAATTCTCCGAATGCAAGATCCTGAAAGAGGCCAAAGAATACGGAAGTTACAGAATAGGAATAACGAGGAGGAAGATGAATAAGTATCTCTGTGCATGAATATGATGTACTATTGAGGATAAATGTATAATGGTGTGTAAAGTTATTACTTCCTGATGCTGGATAAGAGGATCTTTTGTTAGATACTTTTAGGAAAGGAAGTTCCTGAAGTTCCTGTTTTGTTTTGTTTTAAAGAATTATTATGTGTGTACAGACCAAGAATAAGCACAGTTTTGATGATGAGAAAATCCTGAATGTTCAGTTGATATTTTTAACTACCAACTAGTAGAATTTTTTATCAGTTGTTCTGTTCTGTTTTTTCTTCTGGAAAAGATTAAATATATTTTGTATAACTATGGAGTAACATTTTAATAAACAGTGAGAACTGGTACTTGTGGTAGTGTTTTAGTATCTCTACACACTTAAAATTATCATTAATTTAAAAATGTTGGTTTCTTCCTAGCTCTGCTTTATCTCTTAAATGTGTGCTAATTAATACATTCAGTAAAACATGTGTTTCATTTGTTTCCAGTGGAATCACAGCAGCTGAACGTGAGGAACTTTTAGTACTTATAGTGTATACTTTCATAATTAGGGAAGTGAAAGATTTATTTGTAGTATATTCTCGGAGCAGGAGAAAAGTGCTTCTATCTCAAAGAGTTAATAGGGAAGAGTTAAGTCTCTCTGGACATGAGCTTACAACATCTAGCAAATTGGGTCTTTACAAACTTAGATTCTTAATTCCAGTAAACTGAGTTCTTGCACAGTCTGAGTTTACAGATTTAGATTAAGTCTGTAGAGATTCATTATAACAAACTTAAGTGGCCGAAGTCCTTCCAATATAGAGGAATGAAATGAAATAAGAATTCTGGGAAATAATACAGTTACCTTTCTACAGCATTGTAGGCCTGTGGGTTTTTTGGGTGTCCCTGCCCCCTCCTCTGGGACTATACTAAAGCAAGTTTATCTTAATTTAGCTGCTGTATTTAAATAATACAAGCATTTATTGGGAATAAGAAGGAGACAGAAGAACCAGATTTTTCAAACTGCCCCAAATTAACTTTTTTACTCTTCTTCCAGGAACTTGAAATTGTTCAGAGCTCTTCAAAAACAATCACTGTTTAGAGTTCAGCCATTAGAGGAGTTTTGTTTTTTTTTTTTTTTTTTTGCTTTGATGTTATGGGGATACAAAAGTCATTGACACTATTCAGGGAACAGTTCTGCAGTTTCTGCAGTTACTTGCCAAATATGAATTCCTCAGTAAAACCTCACTGCAGTGTAAGCTTTAACTTGACTTTGTAGTCAAATTTGGTTTTAGCTGCTGCATGGTATTTTGTGTTCTTTAATGTGTTTTAGTTTTTCTGCAAGCATGTATTGTGTAGGTACACCTAAAATATGGAAGCTAGATAAGAATTGAAGGAAATACACTGAGAAAGCTATTTGCAGTTCTAGTGCATTCTAACTGTAGGAATTAAGTCTGGGGGTCTTTAAGAGGCTTCAGATGTTTACTTCTGAAAGTCAGGGTAATGGGCCAAGAGACTCACAGCAGCCTCACGGAGGTTACTGACAGAAATGGGCCAGGCTTTTAGTTGAAGTGTGTAGCAGAAGAGAGCCAGACAGCGGTCATAAATTGACGTGGGGAGGTTCTGGCTGGGTAAACTGTGGGGAGGGACTCTTCAGGTTGAAGATTGGAAGCATTTGAGCATGTTGTCCTGACAGGCTGTAGAATCTCCATCCTTGGAGGCTTTTGAGGTCTGAATAGACTGCTGTACCTCCTTCAAGCAGGGAGTTGGACAAGAGACTTCTGGAGGTCCCTACCAAACCAAACAATTCCATAATCCTGTGATTTGGTGGAATATATATTAAGGATACTTACAACTTCAGGATTATGTGAAAATAGTGGGGGGGGTGGAGGGGAACCATACAAAGGGTGTACTTGGTAAAACTTGTCTGCAACACAAGCCCAGTTTGTACTGGGAGTCCTGGATACTATTACATGATCATGAACCACGTTTAGTTTGACTCGATTTTATGGTGAAACTAGAATATATTTCAGACCCTTTTACAAAATGAGATGATAGAATGGCATAGAATTACTTCCTCCTGATTTTCTTCAGCATCCAAAAAATAAAGTAAGAGTGCAGAGGCAGGAGAGAGAAAAGCATTTATTGTCATTGTACTTTATAATGAATTGTGTGGAGAAAAGAGCTTAAGGGAAATTATTGTATTCCTACTGAGCTAACACTTCAGCTTTCTCTCAAGTTTTCTATAGACTTACTTGAAATATTGGAGCAGTTGGCAACAATTCTGGTCTTTGGTTCAAATCAATATATTGTATTTATTCCAATCTACCGCTGTACTTGATGAAAATGTGCGCCTGACTGTGTAATTATTGTAAGCAATTGTTTTCATGGTAGAGGATTAGTTCTGAATAAACAATTACTGAAGCACTTTCCTGGATGCACTTATTTTTGCAGTAATCCTACTAAGGTCTCAGAATTATCTTATTCTTGTTACTTTAAATACGGAGTTTACTACAACAGCTACCTAGAGAGAGAACTGCAGTGCTGATGTTACATTTTGTGACTGTGTTGGAGTTGGCTGTTCTGGATGGCAATGCAGTTGCTTAATGCTGCATTAAAGTAAATGGAGCCCGTCCAGCTACATAAATTAAAGGTGCAGGAAATGTAGAATGAGGTACTGCTTCTCTAATAGATATATGTAAACCAAAGGGGCTTAAATTCCCAGGAAACTTCAACATCCTCTCTACATCTACTAAATTAAGGCTAAGTGGAAACAATGGGCATATCTACGTATCATTCTTAGAAGTATGTAAAATTTTCAGAATGTGTTTTAAGTTGTAGCCAAATGTATGAAGTATACCACTCTCAAAGACTATTACTGTCTAGTCTAAGTAAAAATTCTGGTATTAAAAAAATGTAGTTGAAATTTCTGCCTTTTTCTGTTTGTTTGGAATATAAAGAATTTTATGACAGGATGGCTGTGGTTGTGGCAACAATTGTTTCTGTGTTCCCCCCACCATTTTTGTTAGCAAAATGTGTAAAACTGTTTTTGTTGTTTTTTTTTTTTTCCCCCGCAATTTTAAGATGAACTTCACTTTTTAAAATTTGAAAATACAGAAAATAATTTGGTTTGTGTCATGTTTTATTGTTTGATTCTTAGCTATCGGAGTACCGTCTCATTTCTTCGTAAGGTAAAGAAGTATCAAACATGCAATTGTAAGATGTTCAGACTTTTTTTTTTTTTTTTTTAATCCTGCAAGCAACCAACTTAAAGTAACTGGGAAATGTGGCATAGGGAAGATTTTTATTTACTAGTTCTCGATGCTTTCCCAGGGCTGTGCAGAACTTGTACTTGCCACAGTACAGAGATAAACTTGATGGGTGCACACAGAATTGAGGAGGAAGGTGGTTCTCTTCACTATGCCTTCTCAATCATCACACTTTATGGTTAATTTATCAGTAATGACTTTTAACAAAACATGTCTGCTTATATTAAACCTGGGGTAGTTTAGTGTCATGGTAAGCGAAAGACTCTTACTTAAGGAGGGAAAAACATTAGAAGACTAAGTTTAGGTCAAGTGACTAAGCTGTATTTGACTTTCAGCTAGCTTAAAAAGCTCTGTCAGTACAGGTCGAGTAGGTATATTGTTAAATCTTAGCATTAGCATCTTGGAGGATAAACACCTGCTCTTGGTAAATATAAGAACTACAACTTTTGGTTTCACATAATATGACTCTTCTAGTAAGTGAGTGAGTGCAAAGAAGTTTTCTTCATGCTTTCATATTGAAATATGTATTTCCCAGTAGTACAGTGACAGATAATTAAAGAGATTGAAATTTTTTTTTTTTTTCAATTACAGTGCTGAAGACATGAAAAAAGAATTAAGGGAAAAGGTCAAATGTTATAAATTTATTTTGGGACATATATATTGCAACCTCTGTGGAAGCTTTTGAAAATTCAGGCAAAGATCAATACACTTCCAATAAAACCTTTAAACTTCCAATAAAACATTATTTTAAACATTATATATATATATTTATAGATATTTTTAATTAAAGGGATAATTTTAGCAGGATTTTCTTTTTTTTAAGACTGCATTCCTCTGACATAGCTCTTTCCAGATTGAAGGGATGCAAATGAGGTAAGAATTAAGGCAAACCTAAAAGGCATGCAAATGAAGTACATTTATATCCACTGACAATACAAGCACGTGTGTGGATCAGACTTAAGAGCTGAGGAACTCTTCCCCTCTGTCTGTCCAGTACTACTTTACAGCAGAATGGTGACATGATTTATAATAAACAGTTAACATTACCATGGGAATTCAGTGTCACTAACATTACTCAGCCTAGGAGACACAGAGCTAGCATCAGTAAAACATGAACAATAAATAATATAATTCACTGCAGCACAGGACTGCTGCACAGGCTTCAGAGGAATAGGGCTGTTATGAAATGACATTGCACACATCACGTTGTGGCAGTTTATTTTTATAATATATACTTTTAAAATTCTTTAGCAAATGACATTCTCATGCACACAAGTGTTTCAAACACAAGAAGCAAGTCCATTTATAGGTAGTCCAAGCAAATTTGTGTGTGTGGAAATAGCTGCAAACTGAATGGAACATTAAACTTCTGTGCAGTCTATGATGCATTGTACACAAGCTCATTTTTGAATGTCACACTGCAGGAGTAATACAATGGAAGGATCACTCTTTGCAGCTTCTTTGAATTCATCCAGTGTGATCTGGTCATCTTTGTTCTTATCCATCTTACTGAAGATCTTGTCTACCCGTTGCTCAGGCGTCAGACCATCCTCATTCATTTTCATCATTATCACGGTGCCCACCATTTTGTAGATGGCCTTTGGAAAGAAACCAAATGGAAAATTCAGCACACAAGTTAACCTGATTTTTTTTGATGTGATCAAATTCTGGAAAGATATTCCAACGATAAAATTATTGCCAGTTTCCATGAAGATTTCTTTTTTTTTTTTTTATTAGAATCTCATGTCCATATACTTAAAACAAGAAAGAACGTGTTTTACTTTCTTTAGGTGTAGATTTATTTCAGTGGTTGCATTTGGCATCCTGGAATGGATTTCTTTTGGCTTTATGTTTCACAGTGCAAAACTACTGTAACCTACTCTCTGGATCAACTCTTTATTTGGCTTTTAGACACTCCATTGAAATATTTCATATAAATTCTGAATAATCAGTTTTAGAAGTCATCACCTTTTAATAGCTTTCTAGGTGTACACGTGGGCAAAATCTGGTATTAACTACTGTGGAGAGTAGCTGGCAGATGATGAGGATGGTAAACTTTATCCTTCCTGTTATGTGCTGTGGTCATCTTAAAGCCCATCTGTGAGAGCTCACTTAAAATAGTGTGTTGTTATCCCTGTAAATTTCTGTAATCATCTAAAGTTAATCTGCAGTAAGGTTTCAGCTACTTGAGCTACAAGCCAGTAATTTCATGTGTGTCAAGTGATTTTGAGATGATGGGCTTTGCAAATCCTTTGCTGTGCTGTTCTTATGGTTAATCCATTCATCAGGAAAAAAAAAAAATTACCTCTGGTTATTTAAAAGCTTATATGCGCATATGCGCACTCTGCAGTTCCCAAAGGTTACATCTATTAAAATGTTAGCGTGGTTGTACTACTTAGGCATGAGTCAGTATAGGATGAATGTATGTAATGTACGCTTTTAATGATGCAGTACAGCCTCTTGTGTCCTTAAAACCTAAAGGGTGTGTGAACGAGTAATCAAATTTTATTTATGTTCAGACATGTTATTTTTGAGTGTCATATTGATCTCACCTCTATAATTTCCAGCATTTCCACTCTTGTAATTTTACCATCGCCATCCAAATCATACATGTTGAAGGCCCAGTTTAGCTTCTGCTCAAAGCTGCCTCGTGAGGTGATGGACAGTGCACAAATGAACTCTCTGAAGTCGATGGTCCCGTCTCCGTTTTTATCAAAGGTTCGGAAGGCGTGCTGCGCAAACTTTGAAGCATCTCCATAAGGAAAAAACTGCAAAACAGAATAATAAATAGAACTGTGGGCAATGCAAGGAAGCAAACTGCATCTGCCTGTAAAATACTGAAGTGAGGCATTTATGAAGAGCTGCTGGTGGGCTTTCTGTAAAACTGAAGTGAGGTAGCGTAAGTTTCCGTAACAGAGTGCAGTGATTATTAAAAACTTATTTTAATAAAAGTCTCATATCACAAACTATTTATATATTCACCATCTAAATATGTTACAAATATATTTAACACTAATTATAGCCAAATAAACTAAATGAACCTTAAAATGAAATCGGGTGCAAATGGGACATTGTGTGTAATATTCTCTATGAAATACAGCAACCAAGGTGCATTTTAACAGTATTTTTTCTGCCTGGGAATAACCAGCCCTTGACATGTTGCAACCAAGTAGATGTGTGGGCTTCTTGTTATATAACTTCTTTTATTTAAAAAAAATAATCCACACATAGCATAAAAAAACAGGAACATATGTTCCCTTCTGCCAACCACCATTAATACAAGTACATAAGATGAGAATTGAGATTCAGTTAAGCAATACAGAAGAATGCTTTTCATGTTCAATATCCATTATCAGTGAACACCGCAATTAAATGTAGCTTAACAAAATATTTTAAATGGCCATGACAAGTAGGTTTTCAGCTGGTATTTTCTCCCTTGGGAAATGCATGATTTAAGATACCTGAGACAGTAGTTGTTCTTTCTGTGGCCCAGACTCAAGAAAACATACCTCTTAAGAAAGGGAGTTTTAAACCAGCACTGAAGTCCCATTGCGGTGCAGGGACTGTACCCAAATAATGTTTGTTTCTATGTTCCCAGCACAATTTCATGCTCCTAAATTATAAACATGCATTACTCCCACTTTGAGAGCCATCTCTTTTCGTGCTTTTTAAATTTCCAATTCTTAGTAAGTATTGCATTTAATAATGTAAGTTTAAAGGAAAGACCTCAGTGGCAACCGAGAAAACGGATCTGCATTTTACAATTTTCCATTTCCCTGTCCAGAGCTTTCACTGCAGGCTGATGGTTGCTGTGGTCAGCTGTGAAAGCTTTTGAAAAACACACTCAAATTTCATGGGGGACCTCAGCATAAGAAATGGGCACTACTAATTGCATGGCTAAATACAGATCTAGAACATGGCAAGCATTTGCTGGTTTTCCTTTGAGGAGGCCAAATGACAGTTTAGGTACTGTGTCTTGCCCTAAAAATGTGAAACTTGGTGTGCAGCCAGCTGCTTGCACTATGTGGCCATGAGGGTCATGCCAGGAGCCACTGCTGCGTTGCCAAAGGGATCCCAACCTGCAAGTTTTCTTTAAACTTACTGTTTTCTCTGATATCAAAATTTTCACACACAATTCTGGATAACCTTTCCATTGCTGAAGAGGTACGATACAATAATTTATCCGGCTCAATGGCATTATAGTAATTATAAAATCTTCCTTTTCCCCTCAAAAAAGAGACTAGGGTTGAATTTTGCCTACCTTCATCCATTCAGAATATTGCCCTGTGGTGAATTACCCCCAAAGGGATGCAAATTCCTGTATTATCCTAGAAGAGGTATCAAGTATGTCTATCTCATCTCCCAAGTAACTTTTGATGAAGATATTTAAACATGGTGTGGTGGCATCCAGAGAGAGTGAGACTGTACCCATTATGGTGGGATTTTGTCCAGGTTAACATCGTTGTTAACGTGATTTTCTCATTTGACTTGGGTCCGCATCCACCCACTGCTGCTACACCCCTTCTCCAGGAGCTGAAAGAGGTATTTGGTATCATCCCCTCCTGAAAATGTAACTTACATGCCTGTACTCAGCCCAGCCCCTGTTTCTGTTTTGATAATCCAAACTGAGGAAGCTGTAGATACCTCAAGGTATTGTTGCAGCTCTTTTTTGTACTTTCTATTTTTTTGACCTTCAAAAATTTTTGGACTCCAATATGTTAAGCATGATTTGGCTTATAAACACATACAAATACATGGATACATCTGATACACTTCAGGACTGCAATGACTGCAGCTACCAGACAGACCTTGCTGAATTGCTCTTCTAGTGCAAACCTCAACTTTCTGTCAAAGCAAATGGAGCTCCCTCTGCAGCAACACTCTTTGCGCTCACAGTCCTACATCCAGCTGTGTCAGAACAAAGTTATGTGAATGTTATCCGAAACATGAACTTATTTGCAGGTTATTGAAAATCCTGCTCACTGCTTCCTCTTCCTCATGATCCACCTTTCCCCCAACTCTGTACCAACTGCAGATGTTAACATAGGTGATATTTAATTTTATGAGTGTGTATAGATAGATGTACACTTCTGTAGACCACTGGTGAGAAGTAAAGAAGTAGCTCCTGTGCCCTGTAGCTCCACTGGGACTCAATTTCTCCTCCCTTCTATTCTTGGGAGCTTGCTGGCTGTTCAAACCTGAAAAGAGAAATCTCTTGCTATTTAAATCTGTACTGATCACTGTCCTGTGATGTATGTGTTACAAAACTAAATACTTCAAAATTTTACAGTCTTCCAAGCGTTTCTGTTAAAAGCTGACTATTGCTGAGGCTCATGCCCAATCAGTCTTTCTGTGACTGTCACTCTGCAGTCTCTATAACAGAAAGGCAAGTAGCTAGAAGGAAATGGGATTGTCCTTTTTGCTGTGCAGAGAACCAGAACACACTGAGGTGCTTTCTCCTATTATTCAGGCTGAGAAATGGTATAAATGTACTGGTGGGACCAAAGAACTAAACTATGATGAAGCAGCTCACCTACCGAAATGGCTAAGAAGTGGCAAACACCCCAAAATACTCAAGAGCCTAAGAACGAAGTTGGGGATTAGGAGCGGTCAATGACTGGACATGCCAAAGACCATTTCTAAATTAATCTTGGGGAAACATGAACATATCATTCAGTGTCCCATCAAAGGAGCATAAGCGAGCTGTGATTACCTCTTGTGCCAGTCGTTACCAATAACCTCATGTGGCAGGGAGAAAAGCATCCTTCTAATTTTTTCATCACAGACAAGACAACGAGTTTTTATCTTCTGAGGTGAGGAAGGTAGCTGAGAGATAAGCCTTGGCATTTACAGACTGGTAAGGTGAACAAATTGAACTGATGCTTTTTTTTTTTTTTTTTTTTCTTCTATTTGCTTCCCTGTGGGGAGCAAATGCAGTAAAAGGTCCTTTAGGGACTGAAGGCACTCTTCTCCAGTCTGTCCCTGCTGATTTGTATTATTTTTAGCTCAGCACAATGAAAAAACATTGTCAAAATTTGTTTAAACACCTACTTGAAGACTTCCATTGGCTTGTTTTGAAATGGTTAGTAAATAAGAAATGGAGTAAAAGGAAACCAAAACAATTACAGAGCAAAAGAAGCCAGCTCTGGTAAAATATTATTTGACTATTAAAATTCAGTGAGGCCTTAGCAAGGTGTAAAGGAACAGATTTTAACTACTTTAAGACTAGTCTGAGCCAAGCGGCAATGGGAGACAGGGATCTCTGGAAGACAAATACCCATTTTTGACAGGGGGAATATGAGGAAGGTGGTTTCATCTGCCTCATATGGCACTCTGGCATGAACTCAGTGAATGCCTCAGAAACAAGTAAAGAAACAGAACTGGGATTTTCAGAGGCTACAGCCACTGGGCAAGTCAGTGCCTTCAGCCTCTTCTGCAAACCCTTGTCCAGGTGCTCAATCTACATATGAAAGCAACTAGTTCCCTTCTGCTGCAATAGTAGCACTGAAAAGTGTACACTACACACCAGCATTGTCTCCTGCTTTACCTTTTTCATCCCAAAATCAAGACAAACTATACCCGCCTGGGTTTTTTACAGCAGTCAGTTCCACAGGTGACCAAACACTGGTCATTCCTTTTTTTCTGCTTCTCTAGTCTCATCTCTTGCTTGGCCTGTGCATTTTCTGACCAGTTAGATCAACATGCTGGTGTGTGAAGAAAGTGTTATCTCTACAGACAACTACCAATTAGGAAAGGAAAAAGGAAAAGAAAAAATAAATCCCTCTTATTCTGCTTCTAAATTTTGGAGGAAAAGACTGTCTTGCAGATTCTTATCTCCCAGAGTGTTTCTGGACACCTTTCTGGTATATGGGGGGATTTCAAAGGGTCCTGGAATCTAGTGAATAGCATCTACAAATGGTACATAACTTAAGTCTTGGGAAAAACTAATGAAATACCTAGAAATATTTATCTGCTTGGCTGCAGATGCCTTAGCATCTTTGAAGTGACACTGTTCACAGACAACACTGTGACCAACTTCTATTCAGATCATCTTTGGGAGGGAGTTATTGAAAAAGCATAAAGTATATGCTAAAGCATATGGCCAAAGCTTTGGCATGTGGCTAAAACATAAAGAAAAAAAAAAACACAAAACAACAAAACCAAAAGCAATACACCTTCCCAAATTCCCCAGTGATGGGCGGGTCCAAAAAAGAAGGGCCTCTCCTTCACTGGTAGGGTGGAGTGGAGTCAATCTACACGCTGGCCTGAGCGGTGCTTTGTTTTTGATGCGATGTTTCATCATGCTTCAGATGCATTTCTATTAAGAGGGAAATTCTGCTATAAAATGGAGAAAACCAGACTGGAGTAGTGTACAAAAAGCTGAACACGCTGCCTACACATGCCCAGGTGACAACTCACTGATGTGAGGTCACAGCTTCCAGCACCAGTGTGGGAGCTGGAGCACAGAACGGGAGGCGGGGGAGCTGGAGGTGGTACAGGGCTTCTGTATCCTGGGCTTGGAGAAGATGGGGGAAGCAGCTGCTGATTCCCCAGGGGATGAGACGCCCCATTCAGGGCTCAGCACTCCCATGCTCTGCTGAGGGCTGAAGCAGAGAAGAGGGACCAGCAAGGCACAAACAGCACAAGGAGCAGCGTGAGCATCGTCCAGGGCCAGCACACAGAAGCAAGTCTGGCAGTTGGCTCCCATGGGAAAAACCCTATACAACTGACTGATGCTGTTAGAGTTTAGGAAGGAGTTACTTACTCC